ACCCCAAAATCAGGAGTTTTGAACGTTGAATTTGCACTCAAACTCAGGATTTACAGACTTTTAAAAAGTGAAATATGTCTCAAATGAATCCTAAAGAAGTTTTCCACAACACTGCGTCCTCAGTTCAACTACCTTACAAAGCCGGTCACTCCCTTTAAAACTATTCACAAATTATTCGCTTTCTATCTGTAATGGAACAAATCTTGGCCATTTTCCTGATAATTGGACAAATCATGGGCATTTCTTTTTATTATGGGCGACTCTTGGCCATTGTTTTTTTTATTCAAATGGCGCAACTCTTGACCTTTTTATCTTTAATGGGATATTTCTTCACCATTTTTCTGTTTAAAAATGGGATATTCTTGAATCATTTGTTTCTATCTGAAATTGGACAACTTTTGGTTGATTCTTTTTTTAAAATCTAAAATGTTAAATCTGAAAAGTTTCCTTTATACAACTTAATTCTCTAGGAAATGGAAACTGAGAGTGCAGCAGATGTTTTACAAACTTTATCCCTTGAACCCGCGGTAGAAACAAGTCTAAAACCCTCCGGTGGAGCTGCTAGCAAATTTAAGAAGAAAGACAAGAAGAAAAAGAAAAAGAATTTTTAAACCTTTTTTTGCACTATTTTTTTACCACAAATTTATTTTTGAATTATTTCAGATGAGAATACTATGTCTCCTGAAAAGTGTTTGTCTCCGGATATTTTGAAACCAAGTAGGTTGGATTCTTCTAGATTTAGCTCCGGTAGTTCTAACTCCGATGGGTTTAGCTTCACTCCAATAGGTCCTCCTCCACCTTCAAGGCATATCTCGAAACTGGTCAGACCTATTCCGAGCAGTCCTGGTAATTTTATAAAGAATATATTTAAATATATATATATTTTAAGAAGACCATAACACTAAAAAAATATATTAAAACTAATTAGCTCCAAAGTTCACATTGATCCCATGTTTCAGATATGACCGGGCACTTTAAGATTAAGTCGATGCCCTTCCCTGGTGTTTCCTCATTTCCCCCTCCCACTATGGAACTAGGAAGTTCACATAAACGGAAACCTTTTCATGAAGATCTCTCTTTTGGTCCAGACAAAATGGAAGAGTAAGTTTTAGAAGTATATGACGTAGATTGAATATCTTGTTGGGGGATGTGGATTAAATATAAATAAATAGTGAAATTATATCTTAATCTGTTAGAAATTTTACAAATTGTAAACCAAAGCTTGAGATTTGATTTAGTATAATCAGAGTCAATACAAGTCTAAAATAAGAAAATAAGACGTCTAGGAAACTTCACTGAATAACGGGTTGTCTTTTAATAATAATGACAGTGACAGTGACAGTGACAGTCTGATTCGATTTGATTTAATGTTGAAATATAGTTCAGGATTAGATTTTAAGAAAATATATATATATGTAGGTTTGAACCTCAGAGGAAACTTCATCTAACTGAAGATTACGTTGCTCAGACTATGTCAGAGCTATGTATATCAAATCCCAAGCCTAAAGTTGCCAGGAGGTAAAATTAAACCTATATTCCAGTGCTTAGGATCCATTTAATTTTGATGCGGATGCGGATCCGCACTGCAAAAAAATGGATCCGGATCCGGATCCAGATCATTTCTTTAAGATTTACTAAATTTTTTTTACAAGAAATAATGTTTAATTAAAAAAAAAATCGCTTATTTTTATCCTGAAACTAGATGAACTATTCAGAAATGAGGAAATTTTTATAAACTCTCTTTTTTTTCAAAAGTTCAGAGTTGGATTTTAGGAGTTTTTAGTTGATATTTTACCGTTTGGATCCGGATCCGTGGATCCGCGTATATTTACGGATCCGGATCCAGGAAGCCAAAATCTTGCGGATCCGGATCCAAATCCTGAGCACTGCTATGCTATATTCATTTAAGAATTAAATGCACGAAGTAAAAAAATTGTATTTTTTTAAAACTAAACTGAAATGTATCGGGGTTTTTGAGGAGAAGTATTTATTACTAGCTTGGGAACCTAGCTTTATCCTTGAAACTAAACTTTCCCTTTCAAAGTCACCCAACTTAACCTAGAATGTTTAAACCAATAAATATTCCCGTTGTTAATCAAAAGTTGAGGCAAATCGATCCAGAGATTACAACTTTATATATATAGATATAGATTAAAGATAAAACAGATCAATTCAGATACATTCTCCTTTCCGATTTGATCCCCACTTCCTTCTGTACATTTATTTTCTTTAATTATTAACTGTTGTAATATTAAACTAGAGAGTTTAACCGGGATGTAGCCGAGGCGACAAACCTGGATGCTCTGACAGATCTAGAGAACAGATTCTCAAACCAGGCCATCAAGTAAGGAACAAAGCATTCGAGTGAATATATAATTTCAAGAATAACCATCTCCATTTTTGATACTTCTTGCACCAACATTCTTCCCCCCCCCCCACCCAATTTAGCAAATCCAACCATAAATCAAAGCCCACACATGCCTAAAATTTGGCGAGAAATAGGGGAAAGGATTTTTCATAAAAAATACCCCTGCTTATTTCAAGAAAGCTTTTCTGAAACCAGGCAATCAAATATGAAATTTGCAATTAGCAAAACGAATCTTTCACTGATTACTGGAAAAACTCTTTCGAAACCAATAACTGATGACTATAAATCTGCGTTCAAAGTTTTGATTATTTTGAAGTTCCCTGAATTTCCCAACTTTTAGACAAATAAAAGTTTAAAATTTATGTTTTTTTATATTTCAATCTATCTATCTATTATGACTCCCCAATAACACAAGTGTTACCAGCCCATCCCGGCAACCCAGTGCCCCCTTCCGGGAGTCAGCATGACCTGAGCATTGATACTGGCAGTGTTAGTACCAATAAACAAAAAATGCAAAAAAAAATGTTCCTGAAAATGAAACAAAGTAGTTAATTAAATAAAACTGGAATTAAAATCCAATTTTGAAACTTTGCACTTTCAGTGAAGAGTACAATTTGCCTCCCCTGAGGAACCGGAAGTTACCGGTTAGAAACCGGAACCCACAACTCAGACTAACCATTCACCAGGTATTCTTTTATTTTACTTATTCTTATTAATTTCATCAATCTTGATTTCATTCTGATAATTCTGTTTGATATAATTTACATTATTCTTTCTCATCTTCATTCATTCTCTTTTTCACATCATTTTTCATCTGTGTTCATCGCTAATCTTCATAGATTTCATAATTAATCTTAATTTATACTCATCTGTGTTCACTGTTCATCGCTAATCTTCATGGATTTCATAATTAATCTTAATTTATACTCATCTGTGTTCACTGTTCATCGCTAATCTTCATGGATTTCATAATTAATCATTATTCAGAATCTTCATTAATTCTCATCTGTGTTCATCGCTTATATCTTCATGAATTTCAAAATTAATCTTTATTCAGAATCTTCATTAATTCTAATCTTCATGAATTTTACAATCATAACTTATTCATAGTCTTCATTATTGACAATCTATTTTCATCTTTAATTTTCTCAAAATCTCCAAAATCTTCATATTATTTCTCATCATTTTCATCCCTAATCTACACAAATTCTAATTCATATTTATCGGAAATAATTCTTGTCTGCCTTCTTCTATCCCCATTCCTAGTTATCCTGTATACTCTATACTCATCGTATCTTTAATTCTTTATTTCTAAAAAAATCGGTGCTTTCTCATCATTTTACAGTTTGTTGAATTTTATTTTCACATATTTTAGCGGGAAAATACACATTGTTGACCATTGTCTACCTCAAATTGAGAACCATAATTTTGATGTTTTGTTTCTCTATTATATAACGTCAGAAATAAGACTTGTGATAAGAAGACCCATGTAAAAGAACCCCTAGGTGGAGACTTATAAACGCATAAAATTGCTCCCAAACCCCTAACCCAACTTTTTTGGGACATCCTGTATTTATGTTAACATTGATAATGTTAGGACCTGAAAGCGCTGAGATCGAACAACGTTCTCCCGGATTCTATAATCTCAAGATACCGTCCGTCTCCGAGATCTGGGAGTACAGCTCTGGTGCTCTGGAAACCTCCGGGTTCCATTATCCCTGATTTAATCACCTCCTCTCTCAAGATAAACCGTGGGAGAACAAGATGTTTTAGTGAAGTTACAAGCACACCTTACTCCAGGTAGAATAAATAGTAAATACTCTTTAGAAACCAAAATTGTAGAACTACTGTGAAGACCAGTATTTCTGATATGATCCAAAGATTTTACAATGGTCTAAACACTCTTTTTCCTTTTCAACAACTTTTCAAAAATTCGAAGAAAAAGTTTGGAAGTTTACAACTACTAAATCTAGTTGAGATTACGATCATAACAGAGATCAAAAATTTTGTGTAGTTCTTAATCTTAAGGATTATCTCGATATCAATCATGACAAAAACTATATCTGATTCACAAACTTATTTAGATTTTAATTCTTTGTTCTGTTTAGTCACGAAAACTTGATGGATTCTGATTGTGATGTTCTGGGGAAATCTCCTTTATCCAACCTCAGTCCAATATCAGCCGAGGCTCCAGAGTTATCATCTCCGTCTCAATCAGAGGTTGGAAGATTTTAGTAGAACTAGGCTATTAGAACGCTTTGCACCCGCCTTCTATTTTGACCTTTAATAATTGCTCTATCTTTCAGCATTTTCTTTACGATAAAATTTTTTTTTTTGGAATTTGCAATTTTTTCGTGGATTTTCAAAGCTTTACGAAATTAAAATTTTTGGAGACAACCTTTTGTAATTTTGAGCATTCATAAACCTTCCCTTGGGTTATGTAAGGCCCAATCCCAAATTTTGGTCCAATAGGTTCAGCCGTTTTGACGTTTCTTGGATATAAATAGACAAACAGACAAACACCAGACAAGCAAAGTATATATATGTGAATATTGTATGAGATGCTCAATTGTGAAATATTAATTGATTGGTTTAAATTGTTGATTAATAATGCATCGAAAGCTTTTATACGTTGTAAAGGTTTTGACAGATATTTAGTAAATATTTAATTCTTAACGTAGGTTTTAATATTAAAACTTAACAAAGACGACTCCCTTTCCGTTTTTATTGGTCATGACTGTATTATCTAAATCATTCTTTTCTAGGAGGAATCTCCGCCATTTTCCAACCGACATCGGCGGAATTCCGCACCGGAGATAAGTGAACCTCTTCCATTCCCAGACGATGATGGAAGTATGGAACTGTGATAAAAAATTTAAAAATCCTGATGAACTAACAAGGAAATGCCAAGCAGGCCAGGTCCGACCTTCCCTGGTTAAACCTTTAAATTATTTATATTACATATATATTTTATTATTATCTTAATTATCAATTAGAATCCATGTTTCTTGAAAAATATCTGTAAAAATGCATTCTCAAATTATTTTGTTTTTCCACTCGTTCCCTGTGATTTATTCGGAAGCTATTTATTTGCTTTACATGTAAATAAACATTAAATATGAGAGTTAGCTAATTTCTGAAGAAGGTCTTTAAACTTGCAGTTTAAGTTTACTATTTCCCTGATGCGTCAAAGAAACAGCTAAAGTTAATTCGGTTAAGTGAATTGGATACCAGGGGTCGCTGAACCAGAATTATATTGGATCTTTAAATAGGTTCGGGTTAGGACTGAAGGAGGTGGAGGTGGACAATGGACAAGAGACATTACACATGCTGTACGTAGTTAAAGTGGGAAGTTTAATTTAAATCCGTATACTTATAACTACTTAGTTACTATTTTGGATCGTGGCTTATTTTTTATGTCTGTTCTTTGATTTCCTTCTTAGCAATCTATATAGAGCTTGTCTTGGTTTGGAGAGGGAGGGATTCCAAAGGTTTCTCAGAGAACCTACTCAATTGGAGAAGTGGAAAGATGAGAAAACTTAAAATCCAGAGGATCCTTGTTTTATCCATCTAAAGATCTATTGGAGGATGTTGAAAAATATGAGAAATTATTTCAAAAAACACTTGAAGTCTCTGGATAGCGGACATGATCCTATTGAAAAAACAATTTCATCTATTACTGCAATAAACAAAAGATGGCCTCAAGAGGTTGTAAAACTTTTGTAAATGTAAGATTTAAGTAAGCTTGAAGGAAAATAGTAAAAAAAAAAATGTCAGAACATTGAAACAAACTGCTCAGTTCGCTCAGTTTATGTTTTAGAATTATGGTGTGATAAAATTAAAAAAGCTTGACGATCTGCTTTTAGAAAAATAGAATGTATAAATTGCCAATAAATAGATGTATTTGAATATGGATAACATTTTTTTCTTTATTTTTCTCGAATTTTATGTCAGAAGGTTTTATTTATTAATGACTAATATTTAATGTGCATTTCCCGAAAAAGTTTTTAAAGGTACTGTTGTGAATCAGGCATACATCTTTATTTATTAGGCAGAATTACGTGTGCAGTTCTGTTATACATGACATTGAATTATGTCTACTGTCCCTTTTTGCATTGACTCCCATGGAATGAGGACTTGCTTTTGTTTTTATTAAGACATCCGAATGTTATCATATAACGTTTTACAATTTGAATATATGATCTTGGAAATTATTATTTCCCTCTCCTGCCTTTGAAGCATATACTCGCTAGCAACAAATATTCTTGCGTTTTTGAATAAGACCGCTCTTATATACCAGACTTAAGATACCGGACTCTTGAACCGGCCTTATGGCGGGATATATGTCTTGCTACGTGGTGTCCCACGAAACATGAGAGTTGGTGAATAGTTTAGAATGCCAGAATTTGTTAAGTTGTTTGATACCAATTAGATCAATAAAAATATTATATGAGAGTCATATTAAACTTTATTTCAAAGTAAAAGATAATGAAGCAAAAGATTTTTTGACAAAAAATTACGATTTATTAAATGTCATGTTTCGTGGGACACCCTGTATCAGATAAGAATTTAGATATCTAATGGCCAACATATCGTCCCCAAAGTATGTGAACTACACTCACTACACGACCACTATCTATAGAGAGAGAGAACGGACTCAGTTTGGTTTTGTTCTGTTTACAAATTATACTGAATTTGATGCGGCCTGTTTCGCTACACATTTTAGCCAAACAAATTCATTTTTCGGTTTTCCTTTCAATTCATTCCACGAAATCCACGGAAGTTACTTATCACTTACTTGAGACTTAAACATAAAATAAACAAAGCACTTATTAAAAGATGGACGGAGAGAATCAAATAACAAGTTTGAACAGCGTTCTTCAAGGACTAGAATTAAATCGTATAACCTCAACCTTCACTGAACCCATAGATCACACCTTAAAGGTTCCTCATGAAGTGTGGATAAAGATTGGAACCTATCTAGACCCAGGGAGCCTTTGTAACCTCTCCGCTGTGAACTCCAGGTTCTACAATATCTGCCAGGATCCTGTCCTGTGGACCAACATTAGTATTCTAGGAGATGCAATCTCAAGCACTAAAACAATCATAACTCTACTTAGACGAGCGTATCTTCTAGTGGATTTATCTCTAAAATGTCGGGATGACATTTCTGACCTACTTGCTGCTGTCGCGGAGCATTGCAAAAAGATTCGTAAACTTAAGGTTAGGTTCTGTCCCATTCTAACCTACCTAGATCTGAAGAATTTAACAGAAAACTGTCTCGAGCTTGAATATCTAGATCTCAAGTGTACAGGATGCCTGAACCAAGATGAAGATAGACGTGTAAATGACTGTTTTCGTTATTATTCTACTGGGACAAATTGTTTCTCTGGGCTCTTGAAGAACTTCAAGAACTTGACTTATCTGAACCTGTTCTCCTGTAAACCCCTGACTAATATTGGACTACAGGAGATAGCAGATGGGTGTACTAGTCTAACCAGTCTTAATATTGATGAAGTGACCTACCTCTCAGATACTAGTTTTATTTATTTTGTGGACAGTGTTAAGGATAGATTTCAGGAACTATGGATTGACGGAGAAACCTTCACAGACGCAGCTTTTTCTAAGCTCGGAGAGATTAAGAAGCTCAGAGTTTTATCCATATCATTTGCGGACAGTATGCAGTCTGCTGGTCTGAGGTCTATATCTCGTCTATCCAACCTAGTCTGGTTAAAGGTGGGGAAAGGAAAACTCCAGTCTTCAGATTTCGTTCAGATGTTTTCCGACATGAAACTCCAGAAGCTGAAACATCTTGATCTGTCTGAGTGTTCCAAGCTCTCCGACCTGGGTTTGATCATGATCTCCTTGAACTGTTTAAAGCTGAAGAACCTTGTTCTGAGTTGGTGTTGGGAGTTGACAGACGTTGGGGTTCATTCAGTTGTCCGACATTGCTCACAGCTCTCCCATTTAAACCTTTGTGGTGTAGTCAAGTAAGTATAAAATAAATTTTATTTAAAAAAGGACGATTGAGCGATTTTCAGCAATCCCTCTCTTTAATGTCCATAGAAATATTTTATTTGCCATAATTATTCGAAGGGAGTGTCGTGAAATTTCAGAACAATGCCCAATTCACAACAGTACCATTTAAACTTTTACCTTTATCTGTCGTTTTCTAGAGCAGACATACGCAGGTCACTTATTAGATAAACAGCAATTAAAATAATTAATTTTGAAAGAGTAAATGATCTATATCTCGTGCATTCTTTATTAGACAATGCTGTGAATCGGACGTGCCAGTCTATATATGGAGAGTTATGTCTACAATCCCTGTAATATGGGAACTTGGAAAATAGAAACCTCAAAAAAAGTTTTAACAAATTTTGTGAGATTATAATATTTAAAGATAAATCTGATTTCAGGTTGTTAGGAGAGTTTCTTCGTGATATACCACGTAAGCTCCCGTACCTGGAGAGTTTAGACCTGGAACAGTGTCCTAACATAGAACTCTCAGATCTACAAGATTTACTCAGGAAGAATACTTATCTCGTTATTAAGGTTATGGTTTCTTTTAAAAGTTTAGTCTGTATCTTTTTATGTACACTGAACACTGTATTTCCTTCTAAAAGCATATTGTAATTAATTAATTAGTAATACTTCCTCAACATTACGTACATTCTATCTTATCCATTGTGACCACATTTTTTCCTTTATATCCCCGGTGACCACATTTTTTCCTTTATATCTCTGGAAACCACATTTTTTTCCTTTATATCCCTGGAAACCACATTGTTTCCTTTATATCCCTGGAAACCACATTTTTTCGTTTTGATCCCTGGTGACCACATTGTTTCCTTTATTTTCCTGGAAACCACATTGTTTACTTTATATCCCTGGTGACCACATTGTTTACTTTATATCCCTGGTGACCACATTATTTCTTTTATATCTCTGATGACCACATTATTTCATTTATTCAATTTTATAAGAATTTTTATCCCGCATTTATAATCACAATTTCATGATCTTGGGTATTAAAAGTTTCTTATCTGTTCCGAGGCAAATAAGTAACATTTTATACCAGCAAAGCAGGTTTCCCTTTTTATTTCGCGGATTTCAATAAAAAAACATTTCTATAAATAAATTATATAGCCAACTGTCTTGTGTTTTCATTTGTTGTGATATTTACTTTTTTGTTTGTTTTCGGTTTAAATTCAAGATTATAATTTCTCACTACCTTCGTGATTAAAAATCTTAAATTTAAACCATAAACAAACAGAAAAAGTAAAAATCCCGTCTAAAAAACATATCGTCTCGCATAATAACACAAGACAGTTGCATTTATAAGATAAGATATAATATCTCTGGTGACGACTTTATTTTCTTAATCATCCCCCGGCTCAATCACTTTAATTTTGGCATAACCTTCTTTATTGTGGGGGCTGATTCTGATCAAGTAATTCAATATTTTCTTTATTTTCTTATTGTATGAGTTGACATATCCTTGTGTTCGTATCCATATATAATATTTAAGTATCTTGTATATACTAACTATCATAACTAAGAAACCTTGAATTGATTTATCTCAATTTTTGAATTGGGAACTCTGTAGAACCACGGGAATATTTGAGCTTAGTTTAAACATTGTAAGCAACAACTGATTGACTTTTATAGGAAAAGTTGATAATCCAGATAGAGCTGGGTTCCAAAGGTAGTAATGTAATAAAACTAATGTTACAGGAGTACTACGGTGACCAGGTTCTCCCCAACTCGTCACTCCAGGATATATTGATGGAACATCCAGGAATTCATTTCGTTTCCTTTGATTCTGAGTCTGAGAATGATGAGAAGAGCAACGAGGAAGAATAAATACTTAGCTGCACAGAAAGAGCGCGTACAGATTACATTTTAAGGAGTCAATAATTCTAGCCTTAATTTTCTGATTCGTGATTTAAGAACACCCGGATACGATTCTTCGTCGAACTCATGGTTTCTTCCTCTTAAAGGTCTGTTGGTAAAGTTTCAAATTACTCTCTTCATAATATAATGTCAGATTGACAACGGTATCTGTTAACCCTTAGTCTTCTATTTGTAAAAGTATATTCTGACAGTTTCTTTCTTTATCTTGGTTGCATTAATTCCGCTAGTTTAACTTGAAAGAGGAATTGAATATGGTCAATTTTAAGCTTTAAAAAGTAGAGTAGGAAGACGACATTAAAACAATACTGAAGTGTATTTGATGTTGTTACAGAGCTAATAGTTTTCTATTAAGTTATTATATCACTTGTTAAGTGGAATGGGTCTGTTAACACTATACAGTGTACAACTACTCTGTCTCATGTTTATAGGACTATTTAAAGTTATTATATCACTTGTTAAGTGGAATGGGTCTGTTAACACTATACAGTGTACAACTACTCTGTCTCATGTTTATAGGACTATTTAAAGTTATTATTTCACTTGTTAAGTGGAATGGGTCTGTTAACACTGTGCAACTACTCTGTCTCATGTTTATAGGACTATTTAAAGTTATTATATTACTTGTTAAGTGGAATGGGTCTGTTAACACTGTACAACTACTCTGTCTCATGTTTATAAGACTATTTAAAGTTATTATATCACTTGTTAAGTGGAATGGGTCTGTTAACACTGTGCAACTACTCTGTCTCATGTTTATAGGACTATTTAAAGTCTTAAAGACATAACTTGAGAGGCCCGTAGCCAGGATTTGACCAGGGGGGGTGCAACCTGATGCGCTGCAGGCGAAAAAAAATTTTGGGGGGTTTTTAATGATTTTTTTAAACAATGTTTGGTTTGGTTTTACAGTGGTATATGGTTGTTTTTATTACATTGTAAATGCACACTATAAAGGCTAACCTTTTAAACAAGTGTATTTGAGCTTTTAAGGGAGTACTGCTTAACTAACAGAGTCAAGTAATCATTTATTACTTTGACTTTGCAATATGAAAATGATATGATCTTATTTCTTATTCATTTAAAAAAAAGCTTTTCAAGGGTCAAGGGGGAAACCCCTCACCACGGAAATGCCTCAAAAAAAACAGACTCATAAAACATAGCACGCAGGTCAAGGGGGCGGGGCTAAAAGTCTGAAAGTGTACAGGAGATTACCATATCATTTCCATGGGACTCTGCATATAATTAATAAATCATACNGGGGGGGGGGTGACTGGTTTTTGTCACAAAACTCCTCTTAAAATGCATTTGTCTTGTGTTTCATGGTGAGAATGGCCAAATTGAATATATTGTGATAATATTTTCATTTACAAACATTGTTTCGATTGTAGCTTGCATTGATTTAGAATTATTTCAATTTATTTTTACTTTTCCCGTTCATATATTTATAGGTACAAGTAACAAAACCACAGCGGTTTTGGGATATTCTAAACAAATAGATTCTAACAGCCATATAAAAAAAGATAAATTAGATTTAGGGGCGGCGGCAATACGCCAAAATACTTAAGTAGTAGCGCGTTGAAAAGTCATATTTTATAGTTTTCAATGAAATAGCGGGTTTTCGGTCGAAATTCTTAGCTTAAACATGACAAAACAACTTGACTTAACTCGAAATGTTTTTTCGAGCGGCCAAGCCTTATTGGAAATAAATATGAGCCTTATTAGAAATAAATTCGTTTTGGCTGACTCTCCCCTAATACCCCACTGTTTGGGGGGGAAGGTCAACATTGTAAGACCTTGGTCCTTTTCACATAAAATACACTTTAGTTCCTGTCTAACTGAATACGGAGGATTACGATAATTATATTGAAATACGGTGGCAGGCGATTATATAAATACAATGAAGACTACTTACTTTTAAAATTTTTATTTATATCAAGCTGAAAAACATCATGGATACACATGAACATGGAAGTCAGGAGAAGCTGTCAATTAAAATATTACTCTTTGAGCTCGTAAACTATAAATCTATAAAAGCTTGTTAACAATCAGAATTTAAATAAAACTATCATCTTTATGGTATTGCTTTAATCGCCAACCACCGTACTATAAAATGAAAACTAAATATCGTATAAGTTTTTTATTCGTTAAACTATAACGTGACAATATTTTTAAGAGAGTTAAATTAGAATTTAACAAATATTACAATGATCTAGATGAGTTAAATTAGAATTTAACATAAAAAATGGTCTAGAAGGACTTTAACTGTCAAAAATTAAGATTCTTTGAATTTATACTGATCAATTGTACTCGAGATAATCTCAAGCTGAAACCGGAGTTTTGTATTCAAGGACAAACTGATAAAGTATTGATTTAATTACAATTATTGAAAGGTTGTTGTACTAAGGTGTAATCGCATAGGTAACATGCTGCGACAAGGTTCAAATTAGACCTCGTTGTTTCTTGTAATCCGCCAAATTTAGACTTTTTTTCGGACCTAAATTTTCCTTCACATTCACTCCAGGGGTGAGGCTGACCTTGATAGCGCTGTTGGGTGTGAACGTATCAAGGTTGATCTCGATATCGAAATCATGAGCATCGAAAAGATCGTTAGTCGGTTGATTTTCCTTCTTCTCTTCAGTCTTGGAAATATCTTTTTGGCTCGGTTTAGTTTCAGGTTTGAGACCAGTATTCTGAAATTTCAAAAATATTATTTTTTGCAATTTGTGAAAGATCAAAGGAGTATATTTTTCCAACATTACCCCTCCAGGTAAATAATTTTCGATGCTCTAGAGATAAAATCAAAAGGCACAATTAAATGTAGACTTATTCACCCCACCCCCTCTCCCAAAAACAGAAAACATTTCTTATCTTTAATATTCAATTTCCAAAATTATTAACACGGTTTACAAAAATTTTGCTAAATGGGCGCTATTTGTTAAGGTAACATCCATTTTCAGACGAGAATTATAAAAATTATAAAATAAATTTAAAAAATGCAAGTTTAGTACAATTCAAAAGTACAAGTACAAGTACAAAAGTGTAAATCCAATTATAAATGATAAAAATACTACCGCAACGTTCTGAACGATATCAGAATTAGGGTTAATCGCTTTCTTTATAGCAGCTGTAGCCAACATAGGTTTAGTTTTCCGCCTAAAAAGTATAGTTTTTATAAAAATAATTTCAGTATTTAAAAAAAAAAATGTTAAAAAATTTAGGTTAATAAATATACAAATACGGTTCATCCCACACCACTTATCCAAATGCATGTACAGTCCCTTAAGTTAAAAATAATATTTACCTTGTAAACGGATCCTTTCGTTCTCCCTCAAGTTTCTTCTTTTCCATTTCTTCCTTTATATTCACTTCCGCTTTCTTTATATTATTCTTCCGGTTTCTATCATTGATGAGCGCAATACTGCTGATCTTCTCACTTCTCTTCCTGTCTAGATCCTCCGCTCTTTCCTCTATCTCCAGCAGTCTCTGGTTCAGCTTCTCCGCCAGCTCATGGTTCCCTTCACACACAGCAGCATCCCTGTCCTTAGTGATCCTGCTCTTCGTCATCGCGTAGTTCCTGGGGTTCTCCTGGAACCTCTCCTTCTCCCTCACCATGTGAACAATATCCTTGTCGTTAACCGCCCTGTTGTTCACCCTGTTGATGTGTTTAATCTTGTCCTCCACTAGCTGCAGGGTTGGGAGAGGCAGACCTCCCAGCATTGTATCTTCTTTCCATATTCTGAACTCAGATTCGAGGAACGGTTTACTCGAGACAAACTCAAGTCTGAATATTCGTTCCTGAAGAGCGTGTCTAAGTTTCAAGGTTTTGTTAGTTCTAGTGCTGCCTAGTTTATATACTTTAGGTCCTTCCTCGACACTTAACACCTCACACACTCTATATTGAGGCAAACCTACACGATTTTCTCCGATACCAACTCTGACAAAGCATCCAACGATAACCTCGTTGAAGAATGGAAGATGGCACCAACGTTCCACCTTGCTCCGGGATATCCTTATCTTCTCCAGGTCTTCACTAAAAAAAGAATATTAACGAGAATGAAGACGTAATTTCAACTGAGCCTCCATTTGAAATGGTGGCATGTCTGATTCATAACAGTATCCTTTAAACCTTCAATTGATCCGAGAACTTATCCTTTCTTAATCCTCAGAAACGTTTGTATAATATTTAATTTGAATTTGAATCGCGTTGGAATATTCAAGTTTTAGGAAATATGTCTTTTACGTGAAGTTTGCACGGTACACTAGTGCAGTATACAGTGTACACTCCAGGATCCCAATATAAGAACTATAAGAAAAGAAATCTGAAAAAGAGGTCCCGTTATGAACCCCCCAGACCGCCAATATATTTGCACAAGAAAAGAAAAAAACGGACTTCTCTACAATCGCACAGTGTTGTCACCGTAAGGGGGATTTTGACTTAGGCTTATTCTGATCAAAAAAGAATAGATAAGTTTAATAATGGTTAACAAGTAAGTCATTTCAGAAAGTAAAACGCCTTCCATAAAAATAGATAAAAATAAATCATAAACAATGCCAATATCTAAAAAAAGGCGATTTGTGGATGCTGAGACATAGTTTAAACCATCTTAATTGGATTTGCTCTTTAAGATATCAAATCCTTTGGAATATGAAACAATAGTAGTTAAGGGTTTGAAACCTAAAACAAATGTATTAAGGAAAAATTTATAAAATGTATTAAATGTAATTTTGTTATAATAATTTTTTCACATAAGTTGTAATTTCGCCGTAAAATGCAAACAAAGACCCCCCTATTTTGTCAATGTGGTCCGACCAATGTCCTCTTTGACCACACTGTGCATCGATGATCGCTGATCAGATATAAGTTTAAAAGGTTCCGATGTGAATCAGACATGCCCCTTTATTAATAGAGATACATAAAATTAGGTATACCGAAATTTTATGATCTAATCGAAATATTCCAAAAAAACTTACATTCCGGAAATAGTTTCCCTCTTCTTCTCCGGAGATGGAGAACGTGATCTCGAGGACACCGAGGATGCAGACGAGGAGGATGAGGAAGATCTTCTCTTCTCCGGAGACCTGGATCTGTTCCGTTCAACTTCATCGTCACTGGAGTCCGAGGAATAAATATCATTTGCTTTCCATTTCTTTTTTCCGTCCTTTCCACTTTCTTCTTCCTTTCGTTTCTTCTTGTCATCCTAAATAAGTGCAGTTTATTATTAACTCAATCGTGTATTTAAGCTTAATAACAATCAGTCATAAATGAAAGTGAAAATACTTCTCCTTAGAGTTTTTAAAATTGTGAATCGATTTGTTTTAGCTACAATTAATACTCAAATTCATAGGCAAAAATATTTACTCACAATTTTTTGTTGCTGTTCTTGTTTCTCCTTTCTTTTAGCTTTTAACACATCAAGAGCCAGGGTCTTCTTATCCTTCTTGTTCTCCACAGCCTCCTTCCTCGCCCTGCTCCTCTCCTTAGTGTCAAGTGCCTTACTCAACGATTTCTCCTCCTCCTTCGTGGTTCTCTTCTGCATCTTCAGTTTCTTCTCAATCTCGTATCTTTTCTTTAACAGTTCTCTCTTCTCAGCTCTCTTAAAGATCTCCTCCTCTCTCTCCTTTTCGTTCATCATCTCCAGCTTCCTCCTGTCCTCATCGTCTCCCATCAATTCCTCGTCCAATCCATCGTCGAACTCGCCTAGGTTAAAGGGATTCTTCGTCTTAATTTCAAAATTATCTGATATTTTAACACAGAAACAAATCACACTAAAGCGTTTTGAAATTTGCGATCGCGCTGCTATTTTAGAATAAAAATAAAAAATAAAAAGAATTTGGACTTGTTCTGATCAAACGTGAAAAAAAATTCTACAATAGACTTGTAACATATTCTTCGTAAATAAATTTATTAAAAATTCAACAAAAAATTTCAAAATATTTCGTCATTGTTCTCATTCCACTTTAAGAACTCACCAATCTCTGAGTCCGAGTCTGAAACCTCTCCGTCCTCTACATCAGAACTCTTCTCAGGACCCTTCTCTTTCTCAGGTTCAACACTAGGAACATAAAATAAACATTGAACGTAGTGAGGGATTTATTTGAATTGTTGAAAAAAAAGAGATTAAACCAACCATTATAAAAATACAAAAAATATAAAATATATATCTATATAATAAAACAAGACTTTTGAATATATGTGTGTATATATATATGGAGATATATATATATATATATATGTTGCCTATAGCGTTTGGCTGGACCGAATGGGCTGAATTTTTTTTGTGGACACTCATGGGTGGTCAGGGGGTGTTTTAGGCTAAAAATTCGAATAATAATAATATTTGTTCAAATTTTTTTATTTAAATTATTTTCCACGGCCAACGCCGGGCCCTTCGGCTATTTTTATATAAAATACATATATAAAATATTACAAACATTTTTAAAAAGCATATAATATAATCAAATTCAAGATTTTAACTTCACATGGAGGATCAAATAAACATAACTAATTTTTAGATATACTCTTCTTTCTCCTTCCCCTTACAAAATTTTAAATTTTGTAAGGAGAAAGAGTATGTAGCTGGGGGGGTGTGAGGGGGGGGGGGGGCAGTGCTTAGGATTCATTTAATATTAATGCGGATCCGGATCCTGGAAAAAAATGGATCCGGATCCAGGTCATTTCTTTAAGATTTACTGAATATTATAAAAAAAAAAAGATTTTCAAATCTTTTGTTTTATTTTTCCACTTATTTTTATCTTAAAACTTTATGAACCATTCAGAAATGTGGAAATTTTTATAATCTCTCTTTTTTCGAAAGTTTAGACTTGGGTTTTAGGAGTAAAAAAGTTTCTTTTTGCAGTTTTTGGTTGACATTTATCCCCTTGGATCCGTATCCATGGATCCGCATGTTTTTGCAGATCCGGATCCAGGAATCCAAAATATTGCGGATTCAACAGATCCGGATCCTAAGCACNGGTGGGGTTAAATCTTTACAACGGAAAATAAGTCTAAATAATTAAAAAACCTGCTACTTCTTTGTTGACCCTCCTCGACCTCGGAATCAGAATCTGAAGATGAACCGCTCCCAGACTTGGACTTTTTCATCTTCTATATACAATATAAAATCAAGAGAAGCACTTTTCTACATATGATTTTAATTTTTATTGTATCAACATTATGTTTCCTCATATGTTAAACAATCATATGATAAAAAAAACGTTAATAAACTTTCTGCATTAATAATAGTTGACAAAAATTGAGAGAAAAAAACTGTCAAAGAATGCATCATGAAAAGTACATTGACTCAGAATCATAGAAACATTATATAAAAATATAGAAACATTATCTAAAAAATTTTGGACCTGGGGAGATTTCTTCCTCTTCTTGGCCAAGGTCTGAAACTCTGATTCTGAAAGGTCTGAGTCCGATCCAGAGCTGGAATCCAGCATAGCAATAGTTTTTCGCTTTGACGACATTTTACACCTAAAATTATATAAATCAAAAACATGTTTTTAACAATCATCAATTGGTAATTTCGTGGAGCGCTCGGCCCACTAGCCTGCCCACAGCGCTCGGCCCACTAGCCTGCCCCCTGCGCTCGGCCCAGAAATTGTCCAAAAATCGTTCTCTAGGACAGACTCCACCAATTTAGCAATGCCGATTATTGTCTAGTTAGATAATAAAAATAAACCAATTCCTATAGGTTCATACAAGTTGCCCCCCTCCCCCATTCTTAAAAATACCCCAGTTACGCCTCAGATTTAGACCAAAGAAGTGAAAACGCCGTCTTATGGTTCAGATGATCTATTTATTCACATAATTCCAAGTCGATAGATCCTTCAGAAAGTGCCCATATCAATATTACGTAATTCATTCAACGACCAATACTAGTGAATTAAAAGTTATGGCAGATGGATGATTAAATTTGTAGGAAAACATTGAAAAACATTGTGACGTTTTCATCAGCGCAAAGTAATGGGCGCCAAACAAATACTGTACACTTATTAAGATTTGCGGTATTGTCCTCCGTCGATGAATGTTCAACGTAAATTTTCTACTACATTTAATATATTTGTTACATTTCACCGACAGTGTTCGAAATACCCGAACTTGACAACGGCATTGGCACTTGGCAGTAAAGCAAAGTTGTTGATAGTTGATGGAGTTGATGAATCAACTGAGTGCCTTCTTATAATGTTTATTTTGTAACTGATATGCTGTAGAAGGTATGTGTAGCAAATAATTATTATTAAGCTCTGGAAGTATCTCAAATTCTCAAAACGAAGAGAGAAGTCAAGATTCTTAAGATTTAAATTACCCAAGAAAATATAAAATCCAAGAGAAAACAATGTCCTGCGTCTTGGGAATTCTGTCACCAATCACCATTATTCAAATATTTGGAGTCTGTTACAAACCATATACATGTAAATTAGGAAATTAAATAAAGTTGGGGAAATTTACATGTTGAAATTTCCCCAACTACTGTGGGAGCGACAATCACTGATCACATTCAATGAATTTAACCAATTAGGCAATCATACTTTTCAAGGTATGTATAAGGAGTAATATTTCTAAACTTTTTTAAAAACTATTTCAGAATTTTTAATCCGAAATGTCAGTTCAAAATGGAACCTAAAACTAAGAGAAGAAAATTGGAAGATTTTAATATTATCAAAAGAGACGATCTAAATATCTCCAGTAAAACAATCTTTACAGTAGACAAGTGCAGGTAAAAGATTTGATTAAGTTATGGTTAGTTTCATGTTTGAGAAACTTCAAATTTAAAGATGGGGGGGGGGGGGGTCTAACATTGCAGCTTAACTCAAATTGAACGAGGACGTTTAAAGGAGAAGTTTTCAATCGTAGGGATGAAGAATATTGACCCACGTTGATCCTCACTAATCTAATTTAGGTAATGTGTAATCAACCCTTGTTTTCTAGAGAACTGTTCTGCAACCTAGAGAAGGAACTGGAGTATCTAACTGGAGATCTGGCTACCGTTAAAGTCTTCGGGAAGGTTTATGATATACCCAGGAAACAAGCAGGTTTATAGGTTTATAATATACACAGGAAACAAGCAGGTTATAGGTTTATAATATACCCAGGAAACAAGAAAGTTTATAGCTTTAAAATATACCCATGAAACAAGCAAAAAATTCTTATCAAATTTTTTGTTTTATTTCTTTTTCGCTTATTTTTATCCTATAACTTGATGAACCATTCAGAAATGGGGAAATTTTTTCGAAAGTTTAGATTTGGGTTTTAGGAGTAAAAAAGTTTTTTTTGCAGTTTTTGGTTAATATTTTACCCCTTGGATCCGGATCCAGGAACCAAAATCTTGCGGATCCATTGGATCTGGATCCGGATCCCAAGCAATGTACCCAGGTAACAAGCAGGTTTATAGGTTTAAATAATCGCAGCAAACAATTTTTAGGTTTATATAATGCCCAGGAAGCAAGCAAGTTTATGAAATAAAGGAAACAAGCAGGTTTATAAGTTAACTAGCTTGCAAACCCAGTGTTTCCCAGGGTACTCATAGTTACTCCTCCCGTTTACCCACACTTGGTCATAAACTACGATTTTAGATATTTCTCAAAATAAGTCAACCCCCTTAACATAGAATCTCAAAACCAAGCTAAGAAAATTCCGGTGGGCCTCCAGAGTTCCCAGATCATTTTTGCCAGAAATATAGAAAATGAAAACATGTAAAGTAGAATCCTGATATGTTGTGTACCATGCACTATGGTACCGGTTTATACTCTGGCCGGCTGTAAGGAAAAGAAAGCTGTAGACGAGGCCATATTCTGAAGCACTGTCCGAGATTAACTTACAAGAAGCAAGAATTTTTTTTCGAAAATACCCACTCCGTTCCTAACTTTCCTAACCTTCTTATTCCATTTGTCATTATTAAGGCGGAATTCTGACTATTGATATCCTCAAAATTTTCAAAGCCTGATTAACAGTGACTTTATTTTTCCGTCCTGTAAGAATATAATTGATATGTATCCTGAGCTTTCCTTGTTAGCTAGGCATAGGCGCTGAGAAAGCTATATCCTGAAATGCTAGATTGCTTAGACAGACCAAACATAAACAACATGGTAATAATCAGAAATATGTGTCACATGCATTTTTCCCTTGTCTACAAGAGAGTAGAACGCATAGATCTGAAAGAGAAGAACAGAAAACAAATGTATGATCAGATAAAAGTAACACATAACAGTCAGAGAATAAAGTTCACTGCTATTTTTATATTTTGTTATAAAAAAATTTTAATTTAAATTAAATTGTTTTAAAAAAGTTTGAGGCAAAATGGTCCAGGGGTTCCTGAGTTATGATCGGAGAAAAAAACAGACAAACAGAGATTACAACTTTATATATATAGATAAGTAAAAAAGTTAATTTAGATTTATATATTTATCTTGAACTATTGCAGCATATGGAGATGATGGTGTAAAGTATAGATATAGTGGAACTACAATTCCAGCCAAACCGTGGACTGAAACTCTTAGTTTTCTGAGGTATATAAATATTAGATATATATTTTCCATCACATAACTTTGGATTATAATTTTGCTTTAATTTCAAAATAATGCGAGAGTATATATTAGAAGGATAAATTTATCCATTGCTTTAGTTCTGTTGTTTTTCCCCTTTTCCTAGACGTAGTTTCAGTTTGCTGGAAGATAAATACCTAACTGACAATTGGCATGAATGTACCCCTAGATGGTTTGGGAAAATTATCCTGGGGACGACATCATTATTATTCGTTTTTGTGCAAGGGATATTTGTTTTTGTGCAAGGGATATTTGTTTTTGTGCAAGGGATATTTGTTTTTGTGCAAGGGATATTTGTTTTTGTGCAAAGGATGTTTGTTTTCGACCTTAATTTTCTGGTTATTTTAATAATGTCACAAATTCAACAAGAAATAATTATTTTACGTCTCACAACTGATAACTAAATTTTATGTTTATCGAGTAGTTTATTAAGATGTTCTACAAGATATCTTTAATAAAATTCATTAAGAAATTCTATAAAATCTAGGGATAAGATAGAGGAACACACTGGTATTCTTTACAACTTTGTTTTAGTGTAAAGTTTTTTTAAATCTGATAAAATAAAATGTTGCCATTATCAGGATCAATTCTTAATTCCTTTTTTATAAAATTTTTACCCCAGGTAAAAATCCGATTTCACTTGAACCCCATGTGACACCCTGTATGTATGTTTATCTAGATACAATGATGGGAATGATAAGATGGGGTTCCATAAGGATGATGAAAAGGAGCTGTGTCTAGAATCTCCTATAGCAAGTCTAACACTAGGCGCGGAGAGAGATTTTATATTCCGACACGGAGATAAGAAAACCACAAATATCCAAGACGAGAAACTTGTGCTAACGAACGGGTTACTACTGCTGATGAACCATCCGACCAACAAGTTCTGGTATCACGGGGTGCCCCAGAGGAAGACCTGCAAGGAACCCAGGATAAATCTCACCTTTAGAAAAATTGTTCAGAATGAGTAAACGAAGAAACTCAATGAGCTCCGGAGCAGAGAATCATTTTAGCTCCAAGACGACGGAAAATCATAGACGAAATTCAACCTTTACAGAAAAGGATGAGACTACTTCTAAATACTTTAAATCATCTTCACCAAGACTCAGGTGACACAGATGAATGATGATAATGATAATTGCAGTCTAAAATAATAAAATATATATATATAGATAGATCTATGAATTAAACTTTATTTTTATCTTTTTTATTACCTGCAATACTTGATACTGCAAGATGACAAATATAAAATAAATAATGATATGCTCATCTTAGATCAATACCTAGGACTGATTATTATGCTAAGGAGTGTATAAGTCTCTCCAAGAATCTCCTGGGAAAAGTTCTATGCAGAAGAATTGGGAACACAATTCTTAAAGGTTGGTTCGGAGAGTACAGAGAGTACAGAGAGTATCGAAAGTACAGAAAGTACAGAGAGTGCAGAAAGTACAGAAAGTACAGAAAAACAAATAGTCCATATGATAAATTAGTTCTTCAAATTTCCTTAATTAACTCGAAATTAGCGCGTAATGGCGTACAACAACTTTGTTCCCGCATTAAGGAAAAACAAAAGTTATCCCCCCTTTTTTAAGGTAAGATTGTAGAGACTGAGAGCTACCTGGGAGAAAATGACCTGGCCAGCCACTCCTATCAGGGCAAAAGGTATCATTATTGGTTTAATAAATACAAGAACCACTTCTAGACTTAATGGGACTGTATACGTAATTTTAAGTTACCTTGAATTTTTACAGTTGCATGTCTGATTCACAGCTGCACCATGTAAACATCTGTTTGATTAAGAATAAAAATTTATTTTTTTGGTTTCAATTTAACATCTTTTAAGATAAAAAAAACGACGACATCTTCCTCATACTCAGATAGAGGTTTACAGAGTATCGTTGGTAATCGGAAATTCCACTCATTAGACGGAGAGTCATTTTAAATTCCATCTATAGTCATTTTAAAATGAGTGAGCGAAAAATTAACTATGTAAACTATGTATTGAATTCCCATTTAAGAAGATTATTAACTGTTAATTGATTTGTACAACTCTTCACTTTATGATGAAAATTGCACAATGTGCTTTAAAGCGATTGACCTAGATTGATTAGTTATTCAATCTTTTATGTCCAAATAAATTGAAAAAAAACATTGGATATTAATGAGAATGATATAATCTATACATTCCCTTTAATGTTTTAATACAACTTATGTCCTTATTTTTCTTAGAACCGAGAGAAATGAAGCAATGTATATGGGAGCAGGAACTGCATATGTTTACAAAATATACGGGATGTATCACTGCTTTAATATTTCAAGTCAAGGGAGGCAAAAGTTTTTTACCATGTAATTTTTTTACCTTGTCACAAAAACTACATTCACTGCATTGCGTTTTGTTAATAGTTTTAGTTTAAATGAGTATTTTTCAAAATGCTGATAAATATGTGCGTTATAATTAGTAATTATTAAGTGCAATACCCTGCTGCTTTTCAACATCACTTCGATATCTTTCATAATTTTGCCCATTTTATAGAAGCTGGATCTGCTGTTCTAATCAGGTGAGACAATTTTTTACAATGTGGCTTTAAACTCTCAAATATTTTATCTGGTGAAACTGGTGGTTTTTTTCATTAAGAAATGGGGAAAATTGATTCTAAAATTATTATATAGCATAAATAATGTTGAATTGCATTGCATTGCATTGCATTGCATTGCATTGCATTGCATTGCATTGCATTGCATTGCATTGCATTGCATCTAGACTTCTTTGTAAGCCTCTTTTCTAGAAGGAATGTTCCAATTAAAAGATCAAGTTACTAAATTTCCATGTTTATTTTGAGTCTCTTTATAACTTGTAAATCCAGGTCATTGGAACCTCTGGAAGGTTTTGAACAAATGCGGGAGTTAAGATCTGTGCGGAGAAAGGACGGAGGAGTTAAATTAAAGGAGAAAGATCTCTGCAATGGTCCCTCTAAGCTCTGTGATGCTCTGAGTATTACTAAAGAAGAAATCAACCAACTAAATCTTTCATCTTCAGAACTGATTTGGCTTGAAGGTTATGCTTATTAATATATAATGCAGATATATTTAATTACCATTATTTTTTCACTTAATGCAAAAATACTTATGAACAGGGTTTGATGGGAGGAATATATCATAAACGGAAATAACTTGTGAATTAGTTTAACCTCCCGCCCCCTTCCTGAAAAATATATAAACCCTGAAACATTCCTTAAAATTACTTATTTTACTAGATGGCGAGGATATTGCAGAAGAGAATATAATTACTACAAGTAGGATAGGAATTCAGGGTTCAGGTTCGGCAGCAGCACTACCTTTCAGGTTAAACAACAAACAGTATCCAGGGTGTCCCAATAATCATGGGAATTAAAGTCACAATTTCTTAATTTTACTTTCCTTAGCGAGTCTGATTTTACTAATAAAAATGTAAATCCATATTTCCCTTTCCTCCTCCTAAAATGATGATAAAAAGAGTTTTATTTTGGTTCAGTTCTGTAAATATGATCGAAATTTCACGATATCTCTGGCGTAATTGAGAATAAAAAGATGCTGGACCACATGTATAATAGCACAGAAGTTGTACAAATCTTAATTTTATTGCAAAATTATTGTTTATTAACAACAAATAAACAATACAATTTTAATGACATAACACAATTCCCATATTGTTGAAGATACCTTGTATCTAAAATGGTAATATTGTGCCCCACAAAGGATATTGTTAAAAAGTATGCTTGTTTGTAATTTGTTACGATTGGAATAGGATTATTGCAAGTTTTATCAACTTTTAATTTATTTTCAGGTTCTATATTTTTGAGAACAAGAACGTTAGCGTCCGAGATCGGAAAATTGAAAGTTCAGTGATAAAAAAACTTTATTGAGTGGTTAAATACATAAAGATTGTAATACAGACAACAGTTCTTTTTAAGATAACAGCAAAGTTATTTTGTAATAGTGAAAAGTAGAGATCAGTCATGTTCCCTTTATAAAAACATTGTGATTATTTACAGTTTAAAGCCAAAAATTAAACAAATGATCAAGCAACAACATTTTACCACTCCAACTCCTCATCCCCCCAACCCTCTTCAGTATCCAAATCTGCAACTGCAGCAAACTTCTGTTCTCTTATCTAAAAAGAAAAATTAATATAAAAAAACTTGTATGATTTTAATAATTTAATAATAATGTTTATTATTAACCTGCTTAGCTGTATCAAGTTCAGTTTGAAATTTCTCCAAGGATGATTTTTGTTTAGGAATGTTTGGAGTCATATCGGCAAAGAAATCAACTTCCTCATCAGTCTTAATCTTTGAGGGTACTTTGATGTCTAGTTTAAGGATGTCCAAGTCCTGGACGTTTTTTACAAGCGTGTCTATATCCGATTGAAGCCTTCTGTGCGATTCCTCCGAGTTGGAACTTAAAACACTCTTCATACTGATCATTGGTTCCAAAACTTGTTGCGCCTCTATTAATTTATCTGGCTCCGTATGAAAAATAGTTTTTTCTTCGTTCTCCTCTTCATCCTCCCAATCATCCCAGTTTTCAGTTCCACTAAATAAACATCTTGCACAGTTGAATATTGAATCAATCAACTATCAATCAATCAGAATCTTGTAGACGCTATACTTCCCACATATCGCAAACCCTAAGTGAATTTACTAAATCAAGAGTGAAATATTTAATTCACCTGAAATGGTCGGTCTCCAACGGATCCTGCTCCGCTCCTATCGGTGGAACCCTCTGAGAGTGTGGAACCCTCTCCATGATCTGCTGACTACTTAGAACTGGAGTAATCTTATGGTTCGGACTCCCATCAGAGAATATTTTGGATCTACTTCTCCCTATCACTATCTCCGGTCCTTATAACAAGTTTTTTTCATAGAACTATAATTATTCTTAAAATTCAAATTTTTTAATCTTAAACAATATAATACATTGAAAATTATCAACAATAAAAAACTTATTTACCTAATATAGGAACCAGATCTGCAAGCGCCCTGTAACAATTGTTTTGTATCACAAATGAATTTACAAGATCATGACAGATTCTTAATGTTTTTGCTATGTTTATTACCGTAAAGTTTCAGAAACAATATTTGGATTTAAATCCTTGAGACCCAGGAGCAGGGCTGGAAGGATATCGTCCTCGAGAGTTTGCACGTCTAAGTAAGATATATTTTATGAAGGTGTAATGATAGATAGTTAAAGTGGCTGTGCCCCAGGATGAAAATAAAAGGTTGTGATGCAATGCTATGTCTCCTTTGCAAATATTAATGGATTACTCCACTATTTGTCGATGAAGGTGAGAACAAATAGTTGACCTATTAGAGAAGAGTATACGGAGAAGTGTTGGAGAAGAACAAGCCGTACACTCATATCATAAACAAGAAACATCGTTCTAATCTGAAAAAAAAGTTTAATCAAATCTTAATTCGTTAAATTTATTATATAAAGTTCTACCTGAGGCACAATGAACTCCTTGAAAAGTTCGTCTGTAAAAAGTGCATCCGAGTTTTTACTTTGTGGTTCCAGTAGCTTTGGAATCAGTTTACTCCTGAAAATTAACATTTTAGGACACACTATTAATATATGTATAAAGAAAATTTAACAGAACAGCAGAATTTTTGTAAGCAATAATAGTAAAGTCATGATAAATATGAAAAAGGCAAGTTCAAAATAAGAATTTCCGATTTAACTTAGACTTTCTTACATGTTAGGGAGGGTGTAAGATAATGCTACAGAAAACATGACAGGCAAAATCTAAACTTGTTTGTTACTGATGCAAGTTCCTGAAACTGAAATAGCTTTTTAAACAATCCTTTTTTCTTTTGTAGTGGTTGTCAAGGTGTAATTATTATTAACCTTGCTGTAGAGTCCATAAGAACATATCTTGAGAGTAGAAGACCTGTGAACTGTGCTCCTAAAACCCGGGCAGGGCATTGTCCTAACTTCTCACCTGAAATTCAACAAAGACAATTGTACACTCTAAAATGCTAGATATGATAACTTTTGAATATGCAGAACACTAAAAAATGAGAGAACAAGTTAAGCTTGTTTACGATGATAATCAAGATATTCTCATCATTCCTAGATGGAAGATGGAGAATTACCTATAAAGTATCAAATAAGTATATTTGAGCCGAGTCTAAAATTTAAGCCGCGGCTCAAATTCTTTAAATTCAGCCTCTAGACTCTGGAAAAACTGAAAAATAATAATCCTACCTATACTTCTGAAAGAATAATAAATAATAGTTCTACCTATACAAAAAAACTGATAAATAATAATCGTACACCCAGGCTTAAAGAAATAAGAAAAATAATCCTTCCTAGATTAGGAAAAACTGATAAATATTGATCCTACCTAGACCCAAGAAAAAATCCTTCTTTTCTGACTCCAACTTCAACGTTAAATCTAAAATATAAAATGTAAACAGTAAACACTAACAGTTTTTCACTAATCAAAAATTATACCTTTCAAGAATTGAAAGATTTCAATATGAGGTTGATGGAAATATGGATGCTCCAGAACTATAAACAGAATACAAATATTTCACAATATTGAAAAATTACAAACAATTTTCTAAGCCAACATTGCAAAATTTCTCGCGTTAATTTTCTTCTAATATATTATCCTACAATCTCAAATCTCTTTCTGAAATCTATTTGTACCACTACTATTCTATGTATTCCACGTTTTAAAACCTAACCATTTTCTAAACCTCCACACTCACATGATCCTTCTTCGAAGATCCTTAAACCTAGATCTCAGATCCTAAACCATAAGTCAGATCCTAAACTTAGATCTCAGATCCTAAACCAGAAGTCAGATCCTAAATCTAGATCTCAGATCCTAAACCAGAAGTCAGATCCTAATCCTAGATCTCGGATCCTAAACCAGAAGTCAGAACTTAAGAATTGTGAATCTAGGAATCAAGCATTGATTTCCGGACCATATAATGCAGAACCATTAACTAATCTAATTTCTCTTTGATATTCCGTGGTGGCCATACTTTACAGGGATAACTTTAATGGAGGGATCAAGCATTGATCCCCAAATTAAAATTGATTAATATTAATCTTATGAAAAATATTAAATTAAAGGGACTTTAAGCGTAATTTCAGGTGCCTATCAATTCAAAGATGGAAATGCCCGATACACAACCGTACCTTTAAAAGCTTTGTCTGATCAAGTATGAATTAGAAACCCATGTATATAATTTTTAAAAATGATTATTTCAAATTGAGGTTTCTCTACAAAATTGAATTTGTGCATTTCTACTGCAGAAAGACATATAAGAATTATCTTAATAAACTTTTAAACCAAGAAACCCAACATATCTTCCACGTTATTGAGAAGGTAAAAGTTTCAAGGTTACCGTTGTAAATCGGGCATTGCCATATTTGCATGAAGGGTCACTTAAAATTACACTTACAATCCCTTTAATCTTGCAAAAAAAAAAAAACATTACAGTAGGTATTCTGCCTTGAGATATGGTTGGTCTCCGTGTAAGATCTGGTAGAAGAAGATGAGATTTTGTATAAACCAAAAAATCTTTTGAAGGTTCATCATTGAGACCAAGTAACAGTTCTGTTATAACTAGCCCAAGCGCCAACACATCTCTTAAGTTCAGTTTAAATAATGTATTGAAATACTTGGTTCTTTTTCTTCAAATAATTAATTTTAATAAAATGTTTCAATTTACTTTTAATAGTGAAAGGGGTTCACTCTACCTCACTGGAATTTGCAAAAGAATTTACAAAATTTAAAAAACTATTGAGTAAAATGTTATACTGATAAAAATTTTACATTAAATTGATTTTTTAATCCCATAGAGTTCAACCCACTTCACGTCTGGTTTTTTTTCCTGGTTGATCTGTTATTGAACCAAATTAAAAGATCTTATAATCCTAAAAAATGTCATTTTCTCCATTCATTAGTTTAGACTTTCCTTGATGTTTCAGATTGTTTACTGTCCGGGGACATCTTGTTATCTGGTATATGGATAACCTGCTCCAACCCTGCAATCTTCCACCGTCCCGCCGGAGTAATAAACAATGCGTTCTGGCAAATATTTCCATGTACAAGATTTCCTAGAAACATTAAAAAATATTTAAACAAATAAAAAATATAAAACTTTTTCTCCAAGTAGTAATTTTTTTTCTCTCATAATCATGTAAATCATCTCCAAAATTTTCTATTCAGCAAAGAAACCCCACCAAAAAAAGGAAATTTGTTTGAAAAAATTGTAACCTTTGTCATGAAGGAATTGTAAAGCCTGACATATCTCCAGTAAACCGAGGCTAATAGAGTGGGAGGATTGTTGTCCCAGGACCAGGGTTAGAGGACAAGCTTTCTCCGTGAACAGATAGGCCTGGGACTTTGTTTCAGACCAGGCCAGGAAACTCAGGATAGAAGGGTGTCGGTATGTTTTTAAACTCTGAGCTAGATAAAAGAGTGAATATTTAATTGTACGTCAATTAAACTATGTTAAACAAAATATCGATTCAATTCAAAAAGCCATGGATTGTCCAATAGCTCCCAGACTTGACTGCGGTACGACGTAACGATCCCTTCCAGATCAAGAATTTTCAGTTTGAAATAGTTTAAATCTGACGTTGGCAAATTTGAGCCGTCATAAATTGTATCCATTGAACTATGTTTGTTTACAAACCATAGTATAAACTGAAATAAATTGGATTTATAAAGAATGAAACTACTCGACGAATTCAGATAGACTAAACCTCTATTTTAGATATTCGGATTTGTTTTAGAAAAAAACTTGTCAAGTAAATTTCCGCAAATTTCCTCTGTTTCCTTCATGTAAATGTTCCTTAGTAGCTAACCTAGTGTGCTAAGTTTAGAGTCTGGATTGTTTTTATTGATGAAGACAGAGAGAGGTCCATTATCCTGCTTCTGAGCATGATGCAAGGTCCAATCCTACAAAACATTACATTGAATACTATTTCATTGATGGGTTGACTGCTAATAATAATAATAATAACAGGGAATATTACACAAACTGAAATTCTCTGCACTGGGAGGTCAAATAAACCTGTATTCAAGGCAAACAAATCTCAAACTAGACAATTTAGAAAAGATCATTTGATTTTGAGATACAATACAATTAAATTGAGGTATCCCTTGGGATGCCCCCTCTCCCTGAAAATTTAAGCAGAAAAATAACTCAACTCCAGTAAGTCAAATCTCAGATTTTTCTGAAAGATGAGTTTTTTTAATCTGCTTTGATTTAAATAGGGTTATAATTCACTCAAAAGTTACCATCTTTAGAACTAATTTCCAGTGTATAAAATTGCTCCTACCTTAGTGGTTAGAATAGGATTTTCATCAATAGAGCAATCCAACAAACTGCTCGGAACTGCGCCCATCTTTATGAAAATATATCTGAACTAAACTCACCGGAAGATATACATATTAACGATTAACTGTCACATATCACACAATTTAACTATTTTAAATTTCCTTTATGAATAATTTCAAGGGCGATGTTGTATAAAGTTGACAATTTTCCTTGAATGTCCATTAAATAAATATATGTTTAGGCTGACCCTTGGTCAATATATGCAAATAAACTAAATCTATAAAATTTTACTAAAATAATTGTTTGTCATAGTTTTTTAATATTAGACTGGAAATGAATCCTGTGCTTGTAGTGTTGTGAGGGTAGGATGGATCTAAGAAACTGGAATGTCATAATAGCTGTCAAACCCCATACAGGGTGAGGTGTACAGTTGTACAGAGGAAGACTGTATCCAGGACCACCCTGCACAAATACTTTATTTGCTTGTGACAGCTATTTTTTTTAATAAATAAAAATATTTTTTTAAATTTTTGTTTACAAACTTTGTATTACAAGTTCATGATTATAAATTAGTCGACATCAGAAAAATGGACTAACCTCAAGCCGAAACTGAGTGTAACCGTACACAGCAGGATCTGACAATTTCGAAAATTTAACACAAAAAACTTCTTCAACTTCGTCGTGATTGATGTTAAGTTGTTCTGGATGAAAATCATGGATAATTCCAATGACAGGAACTGTAGCATGATCTCCTCTGTGTGTGCTGGAGAGGGAGGGTAGGGTTCCCCACACATCAACCTGTTCCCGAGGTATTCCTATCTCCTCCCAACATTCTCTAAAGCAAAATTTTTTATTCAGACAAACATTGTAAACCAAAACAGTAAATTAAATTTTGAGATTGTTTACTCCCCGCAGTTTTTGTGAAAAAAACTGGATTATCCGTTTTTCTTGGAATCTTCCCACAACCAAAAAAACGGCAATTATCAATTTTGAGCAATGGTTCTAGAAAGAATACTATCAGAGAAAAAATAGGTCCTTTTTTTGTTGTTAATTAATGAGTGAATCCACTAAATATTTTTATGATGCTAGATGACGAGCACTGACCTCAATGCTGTATCTACGGGACTAGTATCTGTTTTGTCAGAGTTTCCACCTGGAAAACTAACTTGGCCTCTAAAAAATAAATCTCTTGATGATTTAAAAATTGTGCTTATAATATTATTATAGTTAAAGCAGACATTTTATGCTTGTAAAATGTAAATCCTCTTCAAATAAAGAAAATAGGGAACCTGTGACTGGAGAGAAATTTTGATCTTTTAGTGTAGAGCAAAGCTGGTTCATTCTAGGGTAGAAACATTATAATTGAATTTGAGCTCAAACTAGACAGTTGACACAGCTTTCAAAATATGATCAACATAAAAACTCACTAACAATAAATCCAATTTTTTTTGAGCTAAACTTAAGACAATTCTGCGGCCACCATAATTCATACGAAGGTTTTTATTTCATTCATTTCATTGCCCATGAATGGTTTACCGTGGGGTCCAAGCGTTCTATTTTTCAACATTTTTTTCAAAATTCACGACAAATTTGTGTAAAAAGCATTGTGCAAAAAAAACGTTCAAGTGCACATGGGCCCACAAATTAATGACAAACTTTTTATAAATTCATATTCATAAAGTGTAGGTGTACTGCAGATATAAATCATTAATTCAAAATTTACATATTTTACCTCGATATTTACAATTGGAATTAGAACTGCCGAGGTTTTCAGGAGTTCTCCTTGGACAGGTAGCAGGGGTTTAATCTTCTCTAATCTCTTGATACAAGCTTGTTTTCTCTCACCAGATACCATAGAGTGGAAATCAAAAGAAATTGAAGAAAAGCTCCTGACCCTAAAACTGCAAAATGTATTCATCTGAAAATATGCAATTTAAATTATTAACATTATTCTTTTACATTTTATTTTCTTCTACCAAATAAAAGAAAATTGATAGATCAGAAAATCGAAAATGGGAAAAATTTGAGAAATTTCCTAGTATCGCAATTTCTGGACCTCCACCTCCGCCCCCCTCAACCTATCAATATTGTAAATGGATCTCATATGCATCACATGGATATAATTATTCATGTGGCCGCTGCGCCCGGCCCCCTAGCCGCGGTGCTCGGCCCATAGCCTATCCTAGTCGCAGCGCTCAGCCCAGAAATTGTCTTAACTGTCCCTAACCCTGATAATACAAAATAACTTAAAATTAATGGTCATGTAAAAATTTATTGGAGCTAGCCGCGGCGCTTGGCCCATAAATTGTTAACCTAACCTGACCCTAAAATAATTCAAAATAACTCAAAATTAATGGTCACGTACAAAATGTACAAAATTGGTAGGAGGGGGGCGGGGGGCAAAAATTGTAAACTAGGACGGACTCAAAATTTGCCCTTTTGAAATTTTTCTCTGTAATATACCTCATTTTTAACAAGGTAAATGTGAAATGTGATTCTAAGGAAAGAGGGGAAAATTTTTTCTTCCTTTTGAATATTTTAATTCTATGCGTATAACCTTAAAATAATGGTAATCAATGTTGTGTTGTATTAAATGTTAGTATCTTTATGTACTCAGTGACCCGTATTTTGTACACTACTAAAACCATTTAGGTTGAGAACGGGGCATTCGCGCTCAAGGCGATCCATGCATTTTAGAATACTCCGACCGCCGAATCCAACTTTCTCAGTCAGTGAGATGACCACAAATATATTTCTGTCTTGCATGTTTTCCATTAATTGGAGGAAGAGAGTAGGGTAATTTCCTAGAAAACAATTTTTGGACCCCCACTCCTGTCAATTTTGTACTTTTTGAATAATTGATCATGTGGCCGCACCGCCCGGCCCCCTAGCCTGTCCTAGCGGCGCTCGGCCCTTAGCTTATATAAATATTATTAAAAAATTCTTTGGCAATACCATATTTCAGAAATACTAAAGCAGTCAAAGTTCAAGATGTCGAGTAAGAAGAAAGGAACTCGTGGAGCAACTAAGAAAACTAAGTACAAGGATGAACATGTATCGGACGAAGAGGAGTTCGTCCAAACCTTCGATGTGGAGGAGAAGTTGAGATCTAAAGATTTCCCCCGGTTCTTTATTAAAGAACTGACTGGGTCTGAGGTAGTGACCTGCTTATATAACCAATGATGTACACCAATGGGTAATGGGTATAGTTATGACCACAGACTAGATTTGAAGTCGTGACTTTGATCGCTGCGCATTGCACTCGATCCCTTAGTTCGTTTTGGCCGCAGCGCTCTGTGTTTAAATCTTCACCTAGTTCTAAAGTAACTAAAATATGTAATTACTAGGCTTTTAGAGCGCTTTTTAAATTTTTATCATTCATAAACCTTCTTTGTGGTCACGTGATGTCCCTCAAAAAATTTGGGCCCGATCGGCTCAGCCGTTTTGACGTTTATTGGATACAAACAAACAAACAGACAGACAAGCCAAATTTATGTATAGATTTATGATTGTTTGACAAAAATTACCGAAATTGATGTCATTACCAAATATGTAGCTCACAGGACTGGCTTAAATTTTTATCTGAGAGAAAGTATTTTTTTATTTACATTTTATGATTAATATTTTTGTACTTTTTTAGTTGACGATTGAATATCTTCAGAAGAAAGGATTTTCTTTACCTCTATTTATTCGGGAGAAGATGGGACTGTACATGAATATGCCGGACTCAGATTTCACAATATCAGACGTAAATATTTTTGTTATCTATGTTAAATAATCTACATGACAGGTAACTTGATGCCGAGGAAACTTTGCTGCTAAAAAGCTGCCATTAAGAATGAACAATAGTATTTTCAGAATCTGAATCATTATAAAAAGTAGATATCGTATACTTAAACTGAGATAAATTTTTATTTGCATGTCTTCGCTATAAAAAAAAAACTTGTCAATGAAAGAAAAATTCTCCTTGGTTTTGAGATGTCTGACACGCTCTATCAATAGTCGAAAAAAATAGGATATTTCGGATCCCTATTTGTTTTGCATCGATTTAAATGCTTTTTTATTGATGTAGATTGTAAGGTGCTAGGTTAGATCCCAAGTGCAACTTCCCCAGTCACAACTTCCCCGAGACATCTTCCCCAACAGCAATTTCCCCAACAACCAATTTCCCCAACACTAACTTCCCCAGTCAGTAATTTCCCCACTGCAACTTCCCCAACACTAACTTCCCCAGTCACTAATTTCCCCAACGCAACTTCCCCAACAACAATTTCCCCATGCAGTAAAACAGCAACTTCCCCAACACCAATTTCCCTATGCAGTGTAAAATCAAATATTTCCGTTTTTAACATTACTCCAATAAACAAATGCGCAATTTTAAAATAAAAAAATTCGCAACTTTTTGAATGTGAAAAAATCAGTTGGATTAGAGTCGACAATGTTGGCAGTTTATACACTGTATGAGTACAACCTACAATCAATGTCAAGGGACAAATCTAAATCATTCTGAAACTAATGGGGAGAAAAGGAAACATTCAAAATGTGTAGCAACAGCCGTTGTGAAGTGAAGTTGCAGTTGGGGAAATTAAGAATTTTACTGCATTGGGAAATTGGTGTTGGGCAAGTTGCTGTTGAGGAAATTAGGGACTGGGGAAGTTAGTGTTTGGGAAATTAGCGGTTGAGGAAGTTGCTGTTGGGGAAATTAGTGACTGGGGAAGTTAGTGTTGTGGAAATTAGCGGCTGGTGAAGTTGCTGTTGAGGAAGTTGTGACTGGGGAAATTGTGTTGGGGAAGTTGCGCTGGGGAAATGACCTAACTAAATATTACTGGGTTGTTCTAGGTGCGGAGTATGGTTGGGGGGAAGAGAATGATCGAGGTGATGAACTGCGCAACTCAGCAGAACACGGAGATGTCTATGAGAGAGTGGGAGGAATTCTTTCTCGACCCAGAAAGGTTTGAACTCTTAACAAGAACCTGATCAGGGGTGTATATTTATCAGAATTAAGATTTTTGATGAGGAAAAAATTAGACATCAAAAGGCAACTTTTCCATTATTTTTGATACTTTTTACCCAAACATTTATTGATTTTCTCCAAAAATAATTTTTTTTTCAGCGAATAAACCCTTAAAAATAGGATTTTCACAAAGGGGGGGGGGAATATACACTCCTGAAACTGATAACTAAAAACGTGTTAAGAGAATAATTTAACAATTTACAGGCCTGATGCGAAGTTGAATGTTCTTAGCCTGGAGTTTAGTAGAACCAAACTAGACGCGCTCATAACAGCTCCAAGGTACAATTTGGTTTCTTTTTATTTTAATATAATAATTAATCCAATAATAATTTGATAATAGTCGTCATATTTGCACAAAAGTGTTGGTACATTTATAGCAATAGTATTGTATTATTTCTTTAATAGATATATTGTATTTATCTTGCATTCATTCATAATAGAACGAGGAAAAAAGTCATCTTCAAACAATTCCAATTACCGCCAAAACAGCTAGGCCGTTCAGGCTCAATTTTTTGTGGGAACTCACATGACTCCAGGTTTAAAGTTAATGGCCGGTCAGAATTTTCTCTTATTTTTTTTGTTTATTTTTTTTTTGTTTTGGAAATCCGCAAATGAAAAAGGAAATATTTGATTACTATTTCAAATATACGTAAATCTGTTTATAGAGTGGTTCGTCAGATTGACTGGGTTGACAATGTTTGGCCTCGTCACTTTAAAGAAGACCAAGACGAAGCAACGAATGCCATGAATAAAATGAAATATCCGAAGGTTCGCATCAATAATGAAATTGATATTATTTCCTGATCACAAAGTTCTTGTGTAAAAATTTTTCATATTTCATATTTATAGGTCCAGAAGTACTGTTTAATGTCAGTAGCTGGTTGCTATACAGACTTCCATATTGATTTCGGAGGAAGCAGCGTCTGGTATCATATACTCAAGGGGCAGAAGGTATTCTGGCTTATCCCTCCAACTGATGCCAATCTCAAGGAAAAAATGCATCAACATTTTATCTTCTAAACTCTAAAGTAACATTATTATCAATATTTGTACGTAAAATAGTGATCATTTGGATATTTTGTATAAAGTAGAATGTATTTATCTGCGTCAGGCGTATGAGGATTGGACTCTATCAGGAAAGCAAACTGATATATTCCTAGGAGATATAGTTGAGAAATGTGGTCGGATTGTTCTAGCTCAGGGTAACACTCTTCTAATACCCTCGGGTTGGATACATGCAGTTTATACTCCAATAGATTCACTTGTATTCGGAGGAAACTTCCTTCACTCCTACTCAATAGAGAAACAGTTGAGGATTGCGGAGATAGAAGAACTAACCAAGGTTCCGCATAAGTTCAGGTTTCCCTTCTTCACTGAACTCCAGTGGTACGCTCTGGATAAATATGTGTACGCCCTGCTGGGTAGATCCCATCTCCAGGTGGATGATGAGACACTTATCAGATTGTTTGGAGAGAAGTTTACAAGAGATGAATTCAGACGGAAGCTTGAGTATCAGCATCTAACCCCGCAGGAACTCTACGGACTTAAAGCGATCGTCATGTTTATCCATGCACTGCCAGTAACCAGGAAAAATGTTCCAAGTCTGATCGCCGATCCTGTGAGTCTAATCAAGGATATTAGAACTATTGTTGAAACTCATAAGCAAGATGATCCGGAGCAAGCTGTATCTGGGAAACCTCTTCTTTTCTGGACCGGGATTAAACAGGTCCTAAACCACTTTACTGAAAGCTTCTTTCTGGAAGCTGTTTCTAACATTCCTCATTTTCTAGGAAAAAAGTTGGTCGGTAAAGGCAAAGAACAAAGCAAGACGAGATTTAAAGCCTGAGAAAGAGAAGAGAAGAGAGAGGGTTTCTTGCAAGAGCTGTGAGGGTTGTTTGGTAAAGGAGTGCGGGAAATGTTCAACCTGTACTTCATATCCAAAAAGAACGTAAGTTCCCTTTCAAAGATAATAATGAAAAGAATTTATTTAAATGTGTTTTTTAGTTGCGAGAACAGGAAGTGTGAGCAGCCAGTTCTTCCTTTGCAATCAGTTTGTCATTTCTGTGGATTAGATGGTTGGTTCGCAGAGACAAATATGTCTCTTATTGACAGACCCATAGAAACAAACAGCTTGATGGAATGCAGTTCGTGCCAGGAGATAACTCATCCCTCCTGCCACACTGACTATGGTGTTGAAGGACAGATAAGTGATATAACCCCGAACTCCTGGTTCTGTCCGAAGTGTATGAAGTTCAACCCTCCTTCTGAGGACGAACTGGCCGCTAAGATGAGAAAGGTTGAGGAGAAGCCGGAGTTTGTCGTCCACGGAAAGTCCGACCAGTCTAAATCTGAACTGAGAAATCAACTAGCAGAGCAAATAATGTCCGCGTCCACCAAACCTATAAAACATCCGTCCTATGTATTCCGACCTCCACCAGCTATCCTTGATGCAGGTCAGGTTTATGAACGGTTGAAGAAGAACGGATCTGAGAGTATCAAGGTTGAAGAGTTAGTAGTGCTCCCTGTATTCCAATACCTGACAACAGAAGAGATTATTAAGTGTGGTTTGGTTTGCAAGGTCTGGCATAGAATCTCTTTAGATCCTTCTCTCTGGCACACGGTTAACCTAACAAGTAAGAGTTTATTTCTGAGCGATAAAAAAAAACATACTAAAATATTAACCTTGTCCTTTTTTACATTTTTTTTGAGAAATAGATTTTTCATTCTCACCTCAATGTGTTGTATAAAAGCAGATCTAATGACCCACTATCTGTATTGTTGAAATTTCTGGTTTTGACCATTTTGGCAAGTTCATATACTCAATTTTTCAATTTTAGCCAAAGTCTTCTAAATATTATATTTCAACATACATAAACGAGAAACAGGAGGGTGTGTCTTATCAGATTGCTAATGAAATGGCCTAAGAAAGAATATATTTGTTAATTTATGTTATGGTATGGATCCGGATCTATTTTTTCATAGGACTATTCCAGGAACTAGTTCCGGATCCGCATCAAAGTGGGACAGATCATCTATATATAAATTTGGCTTGTCTGTTTGTATCCAATAAACGTCAAAACGGCTGAACCGATCAGGCCCAAATTTTTTGTGGGACAACACGTGACCACAGGGAAGGTTTATGAATGATAACATAAAAAAANATTGTGCAAACACATAGCAAACTTGTTCTTATTAAACCTTTCCTCCAGACCTGTATTATTCTCTTCCAACTTTGAAGAGTGGAAGGAGGACACCATGAGAGTCTGATTTGATTTGATTTATTTTGATTTGGTTTGGTTTGGTTTGGTTTGGTTTGGTTTGGTTTGGTTTGGTTTGATTTGATTTGATTTGATTTGATCTGATCTGATCTGATCTGATTTGATTTGATTTGATTTGATTTGATTGATGAACTTCTGAAAGGGTATGCTCACATGAAAAGGAGAGTTGATGAACAAATTAAACTGATGACCTAACTACGTCTTGTTGAACAAATTTAACTGATAACCTAGCTACGTCCTGTTGAACAAATTAAACTGATAACCTAGCTACGTCCTGTTGAACAAATTAAACTGATGACCTAGCTACGTCCTGTTGAACAAATTTAACTGATAACCTAGCTACGTCCTGTTGAACAAAATAAACTGATAACCTAGCTACGTCCTGTTGAACAAATTAAACTGATAACCTACCTACGTCCTGTTGAACAAATTAAACTGATAACCTAGCTACGTCCTGTTGAACAAATTAAACTGATAACCTAACTACGTCGTGTTGAACAAATTTAACTGATAACCTAGCTACGTCCTGTTGAACAAATTAAACTGATAACCTAGCTACGTCCTGTTGAAATTCTAAATTTTGTATTTTCAGGTTCTTAATCTCAGTAATGTAAAGAACTTAACAGACAACGCATTACACAAACTCCTGACTACACCACGAGATTCAAGACCAGGTTTGCAAATATTTACTTCTATTTTACAAAAACTCCCAACAATGAACATATAACCAACCCCGAATTACAACTACTCGAGTTGAATTAATTCTTGCCATTTAGTTCAGGTAGAAACCGACTCAAATCGGCAATCAGAATTGCCCCGACCTCCCCCCTCCCCGAAAAAAAATTTATGTACGAGAAGACATCAAATTATTTAAAATTAGAGAATTTCCTTAACATGGATGGAACGATGCATAATTACGAGTTCTTGTTCAGGATTGTTGGATAAAAAGTCCCGTCTGAAAAATCTCCGAAATGAGGGAAGATTCTTTAGCAAATCTACTCCTTTATTTCTTTTGTTGTTATTTCCGTTTACTAATCTGTTCTTTGTAACAGAATCTAGCACTGCGGAAACCCTGACCAGTATAGACTTCAGCAGCTGTAGAGATATTACGAACATGTTAGTTTAATTTTTAATCATTCTATCTTAATTTTTTTTACAATTTTAAGTTTTCACGTCACTATTGATCTTCACAAGCTGGATTCACAAAATTTTGGGTCCCTGATTCCGGATTCACGGGACAAAAAAAGCAATCAAAATATGTAAAATAATCTCTCAACTCAAAATGTTGAATATCGAGATATCTGTAAAACCCTTTGGAATCATCAATAGTTAATCGTGTGACGGCAAAAAAAGGAAGAAAGATAAGAATAATTCAGAAGTTTTTTACTGAACAAATTAATAAATTATTTTTCAAATGTTAATTTGTTGAATCTGGATTGGCATCATAACAGGATTTAGCACTGGTTTTCCATCAGGGTCAATTAAATTTATTTCAGTGGAATTGGACATTTGAAGCGTTGTGTTAATCTTGCGAGGATAGATGCATCTAATACTCAGGTATTTAAACTTCGTAAAATTGTTTTTTTTTTTTCAGAATTTTTCTTCTTCCAGTAAGAACAGTTTTCAAAGAAGTCGCTTATTTTTGTAGTTTCAGTACAAATGCGCACAGTAACAGAAGTAATAATTCTTTTGAAGGAATAAATCAATTCTGGCTTGGAACCACAAAAATATTTACGAAAAATTAACAACCTTATAATTTTTTTCCCACGCTGTGAAAATAAGGTTTTTAAACTGAAAATATAATATTTAATAAATTCTAGATCTGAACTGAAATTTTCCAGGTAAAAAGTGACGGATTATCGAAGTTTGTTCAGAACTCCAACCTCAAGCTCAAGGTGTTCGGTTCCATCATCGACAAGAAACCTGTCTCCACCAGGAAAGGACGGAAACCGTAAACTCTTGGAACCAGGAACCAGTTCTCATGTATATAAACAACTAACATTACCAGATCTCAATACAAAGAATATATGTTTAAATTATTCTATATTTAGTAAAAATCTATCGATAAAATATTCATTCTTCCAACCAATGGCATAATATGTTTTCTTGTTAATATCAAAACGTTTGATTTATCCGGAAGTCGGTGGAATTAATTCACGTAGATTTAGCTCAAATCTTTAAGTTTCTATTTTACAAACTTTTCACCAGTCTTTCATCTCTGCATGACATGTTACCTTTCATTTTGTTAAAATGTTTCAGAGAAGATGGCAACCAATGCAGCTGTTGCCCCGGGAGATTCCTCCGCTGGAGTTCCTAAGTGGGTTTACGCCCTGGCTATTGGAGTACCGGTTACAGCTGCTCTAGCCTATATACTGTTTGGACCTGGAGAAGATGGAAAGAAGAAAAAGAAACCTGAAGCTGTCAGCTCCAGCAGTAGTACTCCTGTAAAAAAAGATAAAGTAACGATAGAAGATGTCGAAGAGGTTCCAACTGATCCATTAGAACGTGCTGTTGCCGCTAAAAACAGAGGTATGAATCTAAGTTAAATTGCGAAATTATCAATCCTTATTTTCACGAAACATTTAACTGTGGCCTTCCACAATTGATATCTTTCTAAAGAAGTATATTTATTTTAAAGACACATGATAAAAATTCAACAAAGAATTCACTTCCGTTCAAGTAATATATTCACTATTTCAGGGAACAAATATTTCCGAGGTGGGAAATACGAGCAAGCTATTAAATGTTACACTGAAGCTATAGAAACCTGCCCTGTTGAGAAACAGATGGAATTATCAACATTTTATCAGAACAGAGCAGCTGCATACGATCAACTGGAGGTTAGTGTAATGTTCCTCAGTTAACATTTTTAACCTATTCATTTTACTAAAAAGTACATCTTTTACATTCATTTTATTCATATTTGATTCTGTAGACGTAATAAAAGAGTGGCAACGGTACCCCTTTAACTTTTATCTCCATCGGTCCGCCAGTCTAAGTACCGACAACTTAAAGTAAGCGATGTAAACGATTTTTAGCTAGAACAATATCCTTGATCTGATAAAAGAATAAAGAGTACCGTTATAAATCGGACATGGTACTCAATTAATGGAGGATTACTAAAATTTCGTCTACATTCCCCTTAAGAATTTTTAACTGCAGGACCTAGATAATGTAATGACTGACTGTAACAGTGCTCTGAACCTGAACAATAAGTACGTCAAGGCTCTGGATAGAAGAGCAAAGACACTAAGAAAGCAGGCAATGAAGATTGAAGACTTTCAGATACAGGTACACAAACCTTTCAGATACATGTACACCAACCTTTCAGATACATGTACACAAACCTTTCAGATACATGTACACAAACCTTTCAGATATATGTACACAAACCTTCCAGATAAAGGTACTCAAACCTTTAAGATACATGTACACAAACCTTTCAGATACATGTACACAAACCTTTCAGATACATGGATACAAACCTTTCAGATACATGTACACAAACCTTTCAGATACATGGACACAAACCTTTCAGATACATGTACACAAACCTTTCAGATATATGTACACGAACCTTTCAGATACAGGTACTCAAACCTTTAAGATACATGTACACAAACCTTTAAAATACAGATACACAAACCTTTCAGATTCATGGACACAAACCTTTCAGATACAGATACACAAACCTTTCAGATACATGTACACAAACCTTTCAGATACATGTACACAAACATTTCAGATAGATACACAAACCTTTCAGATTCATGGACACAAACCTTTCAGATTCATGGACACAAACCTTTCAGATACATGTACACAAACCTTTCAGATACAGATACACAATCCTTTCAGATACATGTACACAAACATTTCAGATACATGTACACAAACCTTTCAGATACATTAATCTCCAATCCAACCTTAACGATTAATCTCTAATCCAACCTTAACGATTAATTTTCAATCCAACCCTAACGATTAATCTTCAATCCAACCCTAACGATTAAACTCCAATCCAACCCTGACGATTAATCTCTATTCCAACCCTAACGATTAATCTCTAATCCAACTCTGACGATTTATCTCTAATCCAACCCTGACGATTAATCTCCAACCCTGACGATTAATCTCTAATCCAACCCTGACGATTAATCTCCAACCCTGACGATTAATTTCTAATCCAACCCTGACGATTAATTTCTAATCCAACCCTGACGATTAATCTCCAATCCAATCCTGACGATTAATCTCCAATCCAATCCTGACGATTAATCTCCAATCAAATCCTGACTATTATTCTCCAATTGTATTAATAGGTTGATAAATTGAAACAATGTGTTGAAGATATAACATCTGTTTGTTTACTTGAAGGATTCCAGAAGCAGGAACATCTTGTTATGGTGAGAATATTTTACAACAAAAAATAAGTCCATAATAAGGTTGTTTAATATCTAATTCTTGTGTTTTATTTTCAGGTTGATCAGGTTCTCCGGGAGCTGGGTAGAGCTGAGGCTGCTTTAGCCTCCAAACAGAGAGATCCTGTTCTAACCTCAAAACATTTTATTACACAGTACTTCTCGTCATTCTCAAATGATCCTATTCTCCATCCCGTGGGACAGGTTAGAGATTGTCATGTTTAGTATCCGTTCTACCTAAACTAAGATCCTGAAATCTTCCAATGAAAACACAGATTCAGATCAAGAACTAAACTCAACTTCTTTCTTTTCACAAACTTTTAAAAGTTTAGTTTTACAGCTGTTTGTGCATCACTCTTGTTAAAAAAATTCTTATCGCACAAATTTTTTTAGAGTATTGGAGAGGGAAAATATTTGTTATATGATGGTGGGATGTTCCGTGAAAATTAAATTTTATTTCTGAACGCTAATTTTGATTATAAATCGTTAGATCATTCTCCAAAATTGTCTTAATTTGAAATTCGCAAGTAAGTTAGCATGACACGAATTGTTTCCATGAGAAACCCTGCATTCTAGAGGTGTTTATTGTTTAACATAATTCTCGGAGCTGTAAACCTGATTCAAGACGTAATAAACATACTTCTCTAGAACTGATAAACATACTTCTTGAAGTGTAAAACAAACTCATAGAAATGTTAACCTATTTCTAGAAGTGTTAACCTTACTTCAAGATTTGTTTCTTTCAATTTCTAGAAATGTTTAACATACTTCTAGAATGCTTCTCGAAATGGTAAACCTGATTCAAAAGTGAAAAACATACTTCTAGAAAAATTTTGGACATACTTTTTTATATGTCAACTGTAAGTGTGAAACATACTTCTCAAAGTGTAAAAAATACTTCTAGAAATGTTTAGCCTACTAATATTTTCTATTTAAGGATGAAGAAAATAATGAGAATGAAACCGGAGATTCTACTTCACACGGGTACATCAGGTAAACACTGAGCAATGAACATTGAGCATGGTTTAAGACTAGAGAACCAGAAATGGTTCTGTTCCGGGCGGACTGCCAGCAGTAATTATCATACCTGGATAATCGAGACATTATCCCTGCAAATGTTTGGTCGGGCAGGGCACCATCCCTAACTTGACGTGGTTTTCCTTGATTATTAATAATGGTAATACGACTTAATAATATAAGCTACTAGCAATGAATTTCGCAATCTGTAACTAACAGGGTGTTTCAGTATGACCACATGACTCATATTTGGTCGTGTCCTGGAACCTTAATTTAAACTCCTCATTTAACAACTAACTAATAGGTGTTTAGCCTGAAAAAAATATATTAAGCACGAACTTGAAACTCCGCGCTGTAAATTCAATTTCTCACAATATTGATTTTATTTGACGAGTAAATCCGATTGTTTCCAGTAAGGGAGTAGGGTAGAGGGTTGAGCAGGGATTTATGGTAGTTTAGAAGAGGATAGAGGGGGATATAGGGAATACCATACTAAGAGAATTATACGTACTAATTAATTAATATGCCATAGTAATTAAAAAAAACTATTTATTCTAGAGCGAAGAAGCTGTTTAATGAAAAGAAATATAATGATATTATTGAGGAGTGTTCAAAAGAAATTGATTCCAATGGAGAACATTCACATAAAGCCAGGTATCATCTTTCGCCCATTTGGGACCTCCGCTGCATCCCCCCCCCCCCTAACCTAACCTAAAATGAAATATGTAATAGTTTAATCCTGCATGGGGTACTCGGGAAAAGCCACAGAGTATGGTTAATGGGTTTCGTAAAGTAAACTTGCGCTTGTAAAATTCTATTTTCAGATTATTACGCGGAACCTTTTACATTCTCATGAAGTTGCAATCCAAGGCAATGGAAGATTTCTCCTGCCTCGTGGAGGATCCCCTCACTGACGTCAAGGTCAAGGTCAACGCACTTATCAAGCGCGCCAGTTTATACATTCAGCAGTGCAAGGATCCCAAGAAGGACCCGGAGTTAAGTTTTGCAGATTTTGCTCTGGCAGCGGAGTTGGATCCAGAGAATGCAGATATTTATCATCACAGGTTAGATTCACCACCCCCTTTAGTTTGTTTTACTAACATATGGCAGTTTAATCGGCGAATTAATGTCTTGAATTAAGTAAGGGGTTGTTTAGCTTATTTATTACTGTGTGGAGAATAAACGAAAACTCGCCAGTTTTTCAACCCTTTTCTTTTTATCCGAAAGCTAGAACTAGATTTTTTTTAAAGTTTGTGCAATGAACAAAACTTCCTAATCAAATCAAATCAAACTTCCCAAATGAATTTAGCAAACATCATACATGTGAACTTGACACTTACTTAAACAACATTTAGCCTTAGTCTTAATGATTGACGATAATAAATCGATCCAGTGCAATACAGGAGAAGAAAGTTTAAAACCGTGCTTAAGTTCAAAACCTAGTTTTAGTAACTCTTCTTGTGCCGAGTGCAAATATCAATGAACGAAACTATTTCCGACTTATGATTAAGCACGACGAGAACTACAAATAACACTATTTACTTCTTGTCTAAAATTAAAACTGTGAGTGATCGTTTGTTTTCAATTAAAACCCTAACCATTTTCGCACATATTAGGAATTTGGACGCGTTTTGGAACATAGCCCAACTTTTGAACCAATCCATAATTTGGAAATATTCAACAATTTAGAACAAAACGCAGTTTCATAATTTACAGAATACGGAGAGTTCAGTTGATATAATTTTTTCTCCATTTTCAATAAAAAATTACCCAAATTTCTGTTTAATTTAATTGTAAGAACAATTAAATATTAATATAAGGAGTTTTCAATATTTTAAGTCGTTATATTTTGAAATATTATTTTTTACGTATTTATTGTTTCATTATTTAAACTCTACTGTTTGCAAAAGACGTGTTTTATTACCAGATTGTGTAAATGCTTGAAAATATTATTAATTCAAATCTGTTAGATATCTCAAAATCGGAACATGTTCCAAAACGTGTTTTGCGTCCAAAATTTTCATTTGCTTCACAAATGTGACAAGTTCTAAAATGAAATCAAATATCATCAAAAATTGTAATATATTTATCTGTATGGGTTTATTACTTAAATTTTTGTTATAAAAATTTAGCCTCAACTATTCTGAATTAAAGTATGCAGACGGTTTTTTCTTCTCTGACAAATTTAAAAATGTAACAAATAAAAAAGATAACTTTGCTCATTTGGCCCAAACCTGACACTCAGTGTCAGGTTTTGACAAATCACGGTTTGGAACTTTCTTCACCTGTAATATGGCCCACTTTGTTCAATCAATCTGAAACCCATTGTAAACCAAACAATTAAAAAAGTAAGCACTGGAAAGAATTGGACCTCTGAACACAGAGCCAGCAATCCCTTTTTTGATTTGATTTGATTTGATTTGATTTGATTTGATTTGATTTGATTTGATTTGATTTGATTTGATTTGATTTGATTTGATTTGATTTGATTTGATTACCTATTCAGGGGCCAGGTCCATCTTCTGATTGATGATATAAACAAGGCTATTGTGGACTTTAACCGATCTGTTTCTCTCAACCCAACCTTTACTATTGCATATGCACAGAAACTATTCACGGACTACAGGAACATTCAAAATCTATGCATTACATTCAATTTTAGCTTTTAATGGGCGATTTTCAAGCCGCAATTTTTTATGCTAATTTTTACTTCATTAATCAAGGTTTCGAGGATTTGTAAGTTTAAATCGACGGATTCAAAAGCTCTGAATAAAATAGGATCAAAAAAATTAAAATTTGGGTTTGGAACGATGTGTGAATTGGCACATATGAGGTTGATTTTTTTTAATGTTTGATATATTCTCAACTTTATATCTGAAAATTTGGGAAACTTTTTTATTTTGAATTTGTTCTCAGAGCAGCATCAATGATTGGAGATAGTTCGAAGGTAAAATTAAGAATATTTGCTTATAAACTAACTAAAAAGTTGCTTTTTAATCGCGCATTTGTTTGATCATTTTATCCTTTAAACCTTTTGTGCCCTTATTCTAATATCAATACTCTACAATAGAAATAATAAAAATCAATTTTTGATTATATATATATATATTACTTTATATATACCCCCTTAAAAAATAACTTTTGTTGATTTATTTCTACATATTCTTTGTTTACTTTTACTAATGTAATAATAGCTAGCTAGAAGTAGTTAAACTACGTTGACTTAATTAAAAAAAACTTCTCTTAGACCTGAACCGGCCGCACTAATAAAAAAGTATTTTATTTTTAACGTGTTGCTTCTACTTATCACTATTCATTATATCTGGTCTTCAGATTCAATCCGAGTTTTAGAAAACTATTAAAAAGTTACCCATTAATCTTCAAATTAGTACAACTCAATTTCAGATCAAAAACTACCTTAAAATTATTTTCATTTTTTACTTATTAATATGTCTTAGGTGAACCAGATTCTGTCTGAATTTGAGAAAACTATTGAAAAGTTTCCTGACTGTGTAGAAACCTACGCATTATCAGCTCAGGTTCTGAACGACCAGCAGGAGTTTGCCAGAGCAGACGAACTTTATAAGAAGGCGATGACGAAAGATCCTCAAAATGCTAACCTTTTGGTCCACAGGTATACAACTCAAAAAACTGACAAGGGACTGAAACAAGTAAAATTCTATTTAATTCTTGACTTTGTGCTGCAAGTGTTTCCATATTTTTATTAAAGCTGGGCTTTTGATTTTGGTATTTGTGCTGTAATGGTTCCCCAATCCCCATATATGCAGTTGATTTGATTTGGATTTGTAAAATAACCATCAGAAACGCAAAAATATTCACAATATTTAGTTGCAAGTGAAAGATTCTGCATAGTGAACTCCATAACCATGAAGTTCCTGGAATCTGTTGAAAAATAAACATCAGTATTGTTGTTGTTAAGGGGTTTGTTAGCTCTCCAGTCCACAGGAGATGTTGAGTCAGCAGTGAAGTTGATGCAGGAAGCTGTCGACCTGGATGAGAAATGTGAATTTGCTTATGAAACCTTGGGAACAATAGGTAAGGCAGTTTACATAAAATTATCCCCCCACCCCCCATCATTTCAACTATTTGGAAATTTTACAGAATTTTTTTTCAGAAGTTCAACGTGGCAACTTGAGAAAGGCGATCGAGTTGTTCGACAAAGCTATTCCTTTGGCCAACACTGAACTGGAAATGGCTCATTTGTTCGGGTTGAGAGACGCATCCATGGCTCAGATTACAGTTAGTGCCAAGTTTGGTATAACCCTCCCTGTTATGGGTGTTTAATCTGCCATAGACAAATTACGGTGATCAGATGTTTAAGAAATATTGTTTGCATTTCTAGTCGTGAGCCTACTAATACCAGCGACAAGCATGTTACGTTGAGCTTATTAATAAATATATTTTGGTCTCTCTTCAGCCTTTTTCATTGTTAATCATGCTCTTCACTGCGTTTAAAATTATTATGCAAGTACGTTTTATAAAATTCCGTCTCAGAAATTATTTTTTTCAAAATGTTTATTTTACAAACAAGTTTTCCATCAGGTTTTTAAATAAACAACTCAAATACAAACTTGTTGTACCTGAGTTGTAAACAGTACACACAAAGTGTAAAATTGTACTTTTACAGTGTATTAAATTATTATGCAAGTACGTTTTATAAAATTCCGTCTCAGAAATTATTTTTTTCAAAATGTTTATTTTACAAACAAGTTTTCCATCAGGTTTTTAAATAAACAACTCAAATACAAATTTGTTGTACCTGAGTTGTAAACAGTACACACAAAGTGTAAAATTTTACTTTTACAGTGTATTAAATTATTATGCAAGTGGTTAATCACAGAAATATGGGAAATAAAGTGAACGGTAAAAACTAAAATTATCGAGGAACTTCCTGCCTGTACATATACATTGAAAATTGGGAAGATATAAAACTGAGATCACTGTACAGTGCATTCTTTCGTAAATGCTGAAAAAAATAGTAAAAATTGTATCTGTAGGATGACTTAACGAAGAAAGTAAAAAAAATTCTCAAAACTGGGAATAAAGGTCAGCAGAACATCCTAGGCTACCAGTTAAACCTTGTTTGAGATCGTTATTTTGAATATTCCGTACAGGGCGCGACGCGTTGTAGAGTGCAAAAATCTGTGACCACAGAGAAAAATTTTGCCACTCCTGACCAAATGACACAAGTAAAAGAGTCTTAAGTGGCCACATCATATGATATGCTAGACTTATCAAAAGTCGGTTTTTCCCTTATAACTACAAAGAAATCCTGACTATTTCGATTCAGCCGATTCAGCTCGCATATATTTTATGAATACTTAATAGATTAAAGTCCAATTTAACACAATTTATTCAATGTCTCTAAGAACCTACAAATTTGACTATTTCATATAATTTGTACAATAAAAAAATTCTTTTACAGGAAAATGGTTTTTCCTACAAAAAAAAATATAACAATTTTTTTCCAGAATAAAATGAATAAAATTTTAATCTTAATCTTACTAAAATAAATCCAAGTGGAAATTTGAACTTGTGTTATTCTACAGGAGTAGGAGAACTTCTCCCCCAGAACCTCATGCACTCTTCAACAGTTTCTCTCTCCTTATAGCAGAGAACCTGGATCCGACCTTCAGTATTCTTCTTCACTCCGTACACAGGGCTAGCTCGGATAGAATTAAACCTGTAAACACAAGATATTATATATATGCAAGAGATATATGACTATTTGTAAACAACAACCTGCAGTACATTGACATTGTGTAGGCCCCTGTATCATGAATAGCTATAATATCTCCTATCTCAGGCCTAGGTACAGATACTTCCTTTGCAAGGTAGTCTCCCTGAAACAATTGAAACAAATATTTACATTATTATCATGAGAACTTTGTATTTATTATTTTCAACCTGAAAGCACATTGGACCCCCAACATCCACCATTATTTCGTCACCTTCCTTCTTCACACCTTCAGCAGTGAACAGTGTAAATCTAGTAGAATAATGGTTTCATGGATAACCTGTGTACGGGATTTACTATGGAATAGAGGGTTTGTCACAAACTCAAATTTTCTAATCTTTTTATCTTTCCAACCTGATGTAAACCTAGTTTAATTCATAGTTTGAAATATCTAAGGTCTACCACATTGGGTTACAAAGATTTTAGGATAAGAAAATCAGAGTTTGCGGCAAAGACTCAATTTCTTCTACAGGTGTATAGTGTATACACTGTACAGTATATTTCTATATATTACAAGATAATCAATCAATTAGGATGGATATTTTGGAGTTATCCCATAAATAGACTCGGCGTGACTTCTGCCTGGCTTTGTAATCATAAAATCATGTACACAGTAGTACTTAATAAAAATGAATATTTGGATTTTTATTTGAAATTTGAAATTCTATAATTTTATTATTTACTTGTTAAAACAATTCGCACAGAAATAGACATTTAAATCATAAATGTTTTAATGTGAAAGGTGTCATCGGAAGAAAAATTCTTGTTACCTCTTTATTCACTCTACCCATATATTTTTGATAATTGACCACTGTGATCTACTATAAGGTATTAACACAAAATAGTGCTCTAGTTTATCAATGGTTTTGAGTTTTTCTCTTTCCTAATAGGCTGTCACCTGTGTCTCCAGATGTGCGGAAGGTATGCTTCCCTGGGGAACTGATTTGTCCCAAGATGAGTTAGGATTATAGGGTTCTGATCTTTTATCCAATCCTAAAAACAATCTTGAGTTAAATCCAATCATAAAACCATCACTAGTTTAATGTATTCCTAGAACAATCTCTAGTTTAATCTATTCCTAGAACAATCTCTTGGTAGTTTATCTATCTATGAAACCTGGTAACGGTTTGTTCTGTAAGATCTGCAGATTTTTAATTGAACTAGAAGGACTATTTGTTCTGTAAGATATGCATAATTTTCCATCTTAGAAACTAACTAGAGGGACAATTTCTTCTAAAAGATCTGTTCATTTGTCTATCTTTTAAACTAGTTAATTGGAAAATTTGTTCTGTAGGATATTTTTCATCTATGAAACTAACCTTCTCTTCAAGTTTTCTTCTGTATTGAATATAAAACTCCTCTGGTTCTTCTGACTCTGTATGTTTATTCATCTATGAAACTAACCTTCTCTTCTGGTTTCCTTAGACCAATCCCTTTATCCTTTACTTTAGTCCTTTCCATATCCTTTACTTTAAACCTTTCACCTATCCCTTACTCTTGTCCTTCCCATACCCTTTACTCTAGACCTTTCCCTTTCAGGAGTTTTACAACAAAACAGAACTCCCAAAGCATAAGGACTAAAAGAATTAGCAAGAAAAAAGTTTTTAAAAAAGGGTAGCAGTCTCCTCTGGTTCTGCTGACTCTGTATATTTATTCATGTTGAAACTCCAAGCTGTAGAGTGGAGCCTAAAGCTTTCCCTAACACTCATGATTTGATTTGATTTGATTTGGTAAAACTAACCTCTTATACTTTCCTTCTGTTTTGAAAATACTGAAATTTCTTTGGTTCTGCTGACTCTGTATATTTATTCATGTATAAAACTAACCTTCTCTTATACTTTCCTTCTGTTTTGAATATACTGATGAGGGTTTGTCACAAACTAAAATTTTCTCATCTTTTTTATGTTTCCAACCTGATGTAAACCTTAGATATTTTAAACTTAGATTAATTCATAGTTTGAAATATCTAAGGTCTAGCACATTGGGTTACAAAGATTTTAGGATAAGAAAATCAGAGTTTGCGGCTAAGACTCAATTTCTATACAGTATATTTCTATATATTACAAGATAATAAATCAATTAGGATGGATATTTTGGGGTTATCCCATAAATAGACTCGGCGTGACTTCTGCCTGGCTTTGTAATCATAAAATCATGTACACAGTTGTACTTAATAAATGAATACATGTATTTGGATTTTTATTTGGAATTTGAAATTCTAAAATTTTATTATTTACTTGTTTAAACAATTCGCACAGAAATAGACATTTAAATCATAAATGTTCTATTGTAAAACTGTGTCATCGGAAGAAAAATTCTTGATACCTCTTTACTCACTCTACCCATATATTTTTGATAATTGACCACTGCATCTACTATAAGGTATTAACACAATTAACAATGGTTTTAAGTTTTTCTCTTTCCTAATACCTGTGTCTCCAGATGTGCGGAAGGTATGCTTCCCTGGGGAACTGATTTGTCCCAAGATGAGTTAGGATTATAGGGTTCTGATCTTTTATCCAATCCTAAAAACAATCTCTGTTAAATCCAATCATAAAACCATTACTAGTTTAATCTATTCTTAGAGCAATCTCTTTTTTAATCTAATCCTAGAACAAACTCTAGTTTAATCTAATCCTGGAACAATCTCTAGCTTTATCTAATCCTAGAACAATCTCTAGTTTTATCTAATCCTAGAACAATCTCTTTTTTAATCTAATCCTAGAACAAACCCTAGTTTAATCTAATCCTGGAACAATCTCTAGCTTTATCTAATCCTGGACCAATCACTAGTTTTACTAAATACTGGAAAAATGTTTACCTTGACGTTCTCTACCCTAGTGAAACTAGTTCCTGCCTTCAGAAACAAGGATCTCCCCATCTCTGTAACAACCTTGTACTTCCCACTGAAGAGCACTGGAACCTGAGAATTAATCAATTTTAAAGACTTTGTCTTCAAGACTTAGATGAACCTTCAACAATTAGACGGGTTGTCAACAAAATCCTAGGTAATGTCATAACCTTAGATTAAAGACTAATATCATCGATTAAAACAGTATCTATTAATTAATAAATATAAATTAATTAATCCTTTTTATTAATTTTCAAGGGCGTAGAATTCGGTTACTTTTTTCTTCAAAGGAAAACATTTTCTTGCCGATTTTGTTCCAGAAATCTATGATCGAGTTGCTTTAAGAACATCCGTGATCGTCTGGATCTTGATGACATTCGGTAGTTTATCTATCTATGAAACCTGGTAACGGTCTGTTCTGTGAGTTCTGTAGATTTTTTTATTTAACTAGAGGAACGATTTGTTCTGTAAGATCGGTAAATTTGTCTATCTTTTCAACTAGTTAATTGGAAAAATTGTTCTGAAAGATCTGTATATTTATTCATCTATGAAACTAACCTTTTCTTCTTGCTTCCTTAGACCAATCCCTTTATCCTTTTCTTTAGTCCTTTCCATATCCTTTACTTTAGACCTTTTCCCTTATCCTTTACTCTTGTCCTTTCCATACCCTTTACTTCGGACCTTTCCCTTTATTCTTTACTCTAGTCCTTTCCAATCTCTTAAAACTAAACCTTAACCCTAAATGAAAGTTCAGGAGTTTTACAACAAAACACTCCCAAAGCATAAGGACTAAAAGAATTAGCAAGAAAAAAGTTTTTTAAAAAGGGTAGCAGTCTCTTCTGGTTCTGCTGACTCTGTATATTTATTCATCTATGAAACTAACCTTCTCTTTTAGTTTCCTTCTGTTTTGAATATACTGGAACTCCTCTGGTTCTGCTGACTCAGTATATTTATTCATCTATGAAACTAAACTAACCTTCTCTTCAAGTTTCCTTCTGTTTTGAATATACTGGAACTCCTTTGGTTCTGCTCACTCAGTATATTTATTCATCTATGAAACTAAACTAACCTTCTCTTCAAGTTTCCTTCTGTATTGAATATACTGGAACTCCTCTGGTTCTGCTGACTCTGTNTGGATAATCCTCCTCCGATATCTACTGTTGTAATCTGTCCTGGACAAACCTTCTCAATATTTGTCAGGAAATCCATCAAAACATTTGCTCCTTAAGTAAAAAATCGGACGTTTTTCTTGGACAATAAAAATAATATTTTAATTTATTAAATCATACCTTTACCCCTCTCCCCCAACTATGAATCGGTAAAGCATTTTAAAACATTAAGTTTGGAAATTTTGATGCATTATCTAAATGATAGGCTAGCTCCAAAAAATGTGCCGAATAGTTCCACATTGGCAAATCACCCTGTTTTGGCCTGACCCGGGTGTTATCCCTTCAAAGGATGAGACTGTAAGGACGACTTAAACCTCTTCCAATATGACGATCCCAAGTTCAAATTAATTCTTCTACCTTGAATGTGGTCTTTAAATGGCTTATTTAATAATTTGGCAAAACAAATGTTCTTGTCACAGGAAATCATTAATATAAGGAAAAAGACCGTATAAATTCCGTACAGTCGTCTCTGCAGTCTCTTCCTTAGTGGGTAACCCTGTATCATATGCTTACTGTATTCATGTATGAAATGTACATTTAAATTATTTTACCATCAACAAATTTTGTGAGTGGAACCCCCTGGCTTCCAACATGAATATGAACTGCAGTTAACCAAGGATTGTTCTGGTACAAGGAGAGGATTCTCTCACACGTATCCTTCGTCAAGGGGAGACCAAACTTTGATTGTGGAGTAGCTGTTGATATCATTGCAATATTCCCGGCTCCAACCACAGGGTTGATCCTTAAACCAATCACAGGGACAGTTCCCGGGTAGGTTTTTAAATATTCTCCAACTAGAAGAGACTTTGTGGGATTAGGGTCAGGAGATATAGGACACAAGATTTATTGATTAAATTGAGATTTGTGTTAGTCATAACTGGGGTTGTTAATCGTTTTAGTTCGTATTCTAAAATATTATTTAAAAATTTAATATTTCAAAACATATATATTCTGTAAATAATAAAACTTAGCAATATTTTCATTCTAGAGAAATAAAGGAAAAACAAACCAAAAACTATCGGTTTAACAATTTAGTTTAGGGTTCTTCTTTTCCATATAAAATTTGGCCTAGTGTAAAAACAAAAGCAAATGTTAAAATAAACAATTTTGAAATTTATAAAATTACTTTTTGTAGAATCTTATAAAAGTCCCAACAACCTGAAAAACGAACCAACTTATTGCACATTACTAATCTTAATCATTCAATCATTCAAGATCAAGGTTGATTTAAGAACGTTCAAGATGATCAGAAAAAGATATTTCGCATTATCAAATATCAATTCTGATTTAGCTTCGTCTTGGAGTACAGGCTATAATTTGGGCAGATTACTGAATATATTCCGAATGAGGTGCAATGTTTCGATGTTGATGGTTCGATTGATCAAGACTACTCTTAAACCTTGAGAGAAACTAACCTTGAGAAACTTCTTGTTCATTATCAAGATTAATATAAAACCCGTTGTTTATTGCAGTTTCCAATTCCTTGATAGTTTTTACAGGAGAATCATAAACTATTTGGTTCGCAGGGAAACCTATAAAATACTGTTTATAATACAACATATTATCATGATTTTAAATGTTACTAAAAAGAACTTGTATGTTCCAATGTTTCTTCATTCAAAAAGATTGATGCCAAATTAACAACGGTTCTCTTTCGGGTAATATCGTCGTTTTTTGCCGTAAAGAAGAGACAAGCTCTGGCAATCTTCGTTTTTGTCTTTCCTCTTTAAATCCGCCAATTTTTATAGGAAAAACATAATTGAAAACTTTAATATTTTCTTTATATTATTATTTGCGTCTTGACAAATTTTTTAAAGATAGCTTTCTGAATTGTGAAGGCAACCCTTTAAATGTAGGGTCACTTAAAATTTCGCCGCTAGCCCCTCCAGTAAAAAAGTAACAATTTATAAATAACCTATTGCTAATGAATGAAGTGCTTCTTGAAGACTTGCACATTCTGCCCCTAGATTCTTCTCAAGCCCAAGTTTCATTATACATCTATATATAATATATATGATTTATGTCAAGAAAAGGAAAAAAATTGAAATTCTATTTTAAAAATTTGTACACTTTAATATTAATCTTTCATGAAAAAAAAACTTTTATCAAAAATATTTACATGATTTATGTCATTTTTCTCATACATTTTTGGATAAGATTTATAAAATTTTCAAAATTCGAAAATAAATCTTAGTCTTTATCATACAAAAGGTACTCAAATCCTAATATTTAAACACATTTTTTTACCTCAAAGGGTTGGCTTTAACAGCCATGGCATGGTAGAAGAAAGGTTCAGGAAATGCGGATTTTAAAGAATCTACCCGACCATGGAAGTAATCAACATCAAACACATCCTTAAGACGTAGAAAATACCCAAAATTCTAAGATTTTTTAGAAATTTTCCCAACATTCTCACTGTGCCACTTTAAATCAAAAAATGATCAAAAGTACAATTCTAAAGATAAACCAAGATTTTTTTTTTTTTTATTACCAGAGATGGTTGTTCATCGTTGATGAGATTCAATTCTACGACACGTTGCAGTATATCCTCCATATTTTATTCAGTAGTTTTCTGATCAGTTTTCTGGAAAGTAGTTATTAATAATTTCTTTATTTTGAACGCTGATCTTGATATCCGATATTGGCAATTTTTGAGGATCAATGCTGTATCCCTCGATTGAAGCTATCCATTCAGGGTATCGGAGAGGAATTAAATTCATCCGTATATCTTCAAAAAGTGGAGATCAATACTTGTTCCCGAGATTCACAATAGTTCTGACTTCTGGAAAATTAGGTCAAAATTCATAGTTTTGGTCGTGTCTTGAGTCGTCATCACAAACTAAATGAATTGTTCCATTTGAAGAATATTTTCCATTTATACTTCATTTTCCTCTCTGCTTAATATAGAAATAAAATTTATCAGTGAAAAACAGCGGACTCGCCAACTCGCGTTTTTTGTTGATGTTTCTCTTATAATCAGAGAATTCAAAAAGGAGTTACTTTAATCCGTTGATAAACAAGGTATGCGGATTAGTGCTCTCAGATGAAGTGATCAACAATACAAAAGATCTGACTTCCGCACAGTTGCCCAATAGTGAATAGAAACTAGATTAGAATCTTTAAAAATTTTACATCAGCTGAAAACTTGTTTATATTAAGAGACATCTAGACTTTGAACACACAGACTGCTTATTTGAAAATTAACGCCATGCATGCGTTTGTTTGTTACATTTCCACAAAATTTAAATCGTGTAAAAACTTGTTATTTATGGTTTGAGCGATTAATAAATTGGTTTAAACTGCTTATTTGTTCCAAACCGAGATTTGGCCCATTTCCTAAACTTAAATAAATAAATCTCCTTTTGCATTTATAGTTAATAATTTAATAATGACAATTTTTGTACAAGTCATGAAATGTTGGTTATAAATCTTGTTTCGACTTTCCTTATTTCTTCAAAGTTCACAAACCTACGATGCAGTTCAATATAGAATCAATTAAGAGGTTTAAAGTGACTGCAGACATAATTTCAATTCTGATTCAAAGCTTTTTCTGATCATGTATTGCATTAAATATCCATGTTTTCCATTTTGAAAACTGATATGTTCATGTGTGGCATCTCTACAAAAGTGACTTGTGCATTTTTTGCTTGAAAAACGATGGAGAAATGAAGGTTTCAAAGATACATCGGATATGCCACTCTATAAATGGAGGGTCACTTGAAATTATGCATGTATTACATTAAATATAAAAAGTTTCAATAAAAAAGCTTTTATCAAAACTGCCTTCAGTGTATATATAAATTTGATATCACTTGTAATAAATCCTATGAAAATATAGATACATCTTTTAAGAAACGTTTTCTCTATTTTTCACCCCTTCACACCACAGTATTAAGAGGATTGCCTGACGAGTCCAGTTAAGAAAATTACATAATTAATTTGTAAACACTTGCAATATGGAAGTGTGTATATGATAAATAGTTTACCTTCACATGGTTAACACATGTATCAATATTTTTTCAAAAAAAGGGGGGTTTTAAGGGAGGCACAATGTTAGAAAAGTAATGTAACACTGGTTTGGAACTAATATCCCCTGAACTGGAACTGACACTGCGTCTTAGTTTGGCTCGCCATGTGTTCTCATTTGTTCATAAACAATGTGTCTCAAAAATTTCAACTTTTAACAAGAGACAATCATTAATATGCACCTTACACGTATACACACAAACATTTTATTAAATTGACAACTTTGTAACTTATAAAATAAACACAAGAAAGTTTCAAATGTAGAAAATTTTGTCTGGACTGTGCAAACGCTAGATCCCCTGCTGAATAGAATAAAATTGAAGAAAATACGGGTTAGATTTAACAAATATATTTAATTGGATTTATAAAATATATATATAAATTCATCCAATAGAGACGGAGACTTGGTCAAATAATGTTCTTTGGTAGATCAACCAATATTAAATATATAACTTAACAACTGATTGCGCGGCAAAGTATGTTGACGACAGTAAACATGTTCTCTTACAGACACTACTGTGACATAGTTACATAATATCAGATAAGATTAACTACGGCATATTTTGATATTTTACTCAATTTGTTATTGAAAACAACTTGGATAGTGCCACTGCAATTAATGGACCGAGTTGAAGAAATATAATTAATTTAAATTAAGTAATTTCAAGCGACACTCATTTTCTTATTTCAATAGTGGGTTCTCTTGAAGTGACCTACAGATTTTTGCTGGATAAACAAAGAGGGAACTTGTAAGACTTTCTTAAGTTAGAAAAACGAAGATATCATCCTCATTTTTACTCAAATCGTTTTAATCGGGTGAACACTTCTTAAAATTAATAAGTCAGTCGAAATTACTTTAAAAGTCCCATTAAATTTGATGCTGAATGTTCTAGTTTATTGATTGTTTAAACTTATTAAGGCCGGAACAACACAAGATTAAAATTAAAAATCCAATATTTTTAAACCGTCCCACAATCGAGGTTAAATATAAATATTTCTTAAAGATTCTAGAATCAATGTACAGATTGTGCAGATTGTACAACTAAAAATATTTAAGTCAAATTCAAATTTTTATCTGATGAAAATTTAAAAAGTAAGAACTTTGTTTAGAAAAAAATAAACACAATTCGACGAGCCTTTCATTGAAATAGATTAAATGTTTAAAAAATTGGATACAAAAATTTAAATCGGAATAACCGCTCGAAATGAATGACGAAAATGACGTTCCAAAATTCACCTTTTTTACTTGAAATAATATATTTACGATGGATTTTGGTGTATGGAATTTTATAACTAATTAAATATTAACATATTTGTGAGTGGTAACCCGTGATCTTAAGGAAACTAAGAGTTCATGTTAGAAGAAATATTTTTAAAAATATGCATGTACAGTTAAACTTTTGTGATTGACTTTTGCACATTTCACAGTTCAACTTTTGTACACTACACAGTCCAGCTTTTGTACACTGCGCAGTCCAGCTTTTGTACACTGCACAGTCCAACTTTTGTACACTACACAGTTCAGCTTTTGTACACTACAGGCTATTGTGAAGTCGACATCGCGGAGTTATAAATTACAGTTTTATGACGCATTCTATTTTGTTCTCAACCTGTTGACACATTAACTATGAATCAGAGAAATGAATCTGATTAAAAACTATTCTCTCTCCAGAGAGAAACTTTCCGTCCGAGGTCATAAACTTGGTTTCTCCGGTTTCAATAAACTTGGATTCAGAAATCCTTTCAGGGACGATAAACTTCTCCTCCAGGGCCTTAGAATCCGCGGTTAGGACGATATACTCTGGGATAGTGATACCCTTGGTGCTCTGCCACCTCGGAGCTGTTTTATCCATACCAGGCTCCTTATTGTGCACAACCATGTGACGTTTTAATTTCCAATTTTTTTCAAACTTTTTCCCGCAAGTTTCACAAACCTTGGTTAGTTTCTTTTCTCTTTCAATGGCACGGATGTCGTCGGGTAAGTGGATTTTCATGTGCACTTTTAAATCGTCTTTTCGTTTAAACTTTGCGGCACACTCATCACAAACAAAGTTTTTATCCTCTGAATGTACAAGCATATGACTCCGCAGTTTCGCTTCAACGTAGAAGGCTTTCGGACATTGCGAACATTGAAAGTTTCCCGGGATACCAAGATGCGCTTTCTGATGCCGCTGAAAATTGTTTAGGTAGTTACTGGAGTAGTTGCACTGGTCGCAGTGGTACTTTCTCACGTTCTTGTGCATCTCAATGATATGCTGGTCCAGCAGTTTCTTGTTCGAGGTTGAAAACTCCTGGCAGTGGGAGCAGGAGTGATGTCTCCGTCCTTCTCCTCCTATACCGTGCTCGGTTCTCAAGTGTATCTTCATATCGTTCTGTTTGTTCGCCTGATATTCACATTGTGCACAAGAGTACTTGTTTTGCCTAAGATGTTTGTTTTTGTTATGTATTTGAAGTTTAGTTTTCGAAGATGCAGAGTAATGGCATACTTCACACCTGAACACTTTTCCATCAGTCTCCATCTCCTGAAAACCAGAAAACAAATATTATTTTAAAATATACATGGAATGTTTATTTCGCTGAGAATAGAAATTTGGTCTGAAAACATTTCCTTATTTACTTATTAAAGGCTCAATGTCTTGACAGAAAGAAGCAAATGTTGCTATACGATTATTACGATTGTCTCAACTGTTACCTTGTTTAGTCGAGGTTTTCGTCTTTTCTTCTGTTTTGGAGAATATTCTTCCTCCTCTTCCTCCTCCTCCTCCTCCTCTTCCAGATCTTTCAATTCCATTTCCGGCATATCTTCACTAAACAGAGTTTTCAACTTTATCGGTTTAGTCTCCCATTGAAAATGTTAAATTATTATAATCATTATATTTTAAATTGTAAGTACTTTATATTTCCGATCAGTGCTTAGGATCCATTTAATTTTGATCCAGATACGGATCCTGGATCCGCAAAAGAAAAAAAAATTTATCCGGATCTAGGCCATGATCATTTCATTAAGATTTACTGATGTGTTAAACAAAAGAAGTTTCAAATTATTTGATTTCTCTTTGCGCTTATTTTTATGCCAAAACTTGATTAAAAATATTATCTCCCTGTTCAAATTTGGTTGATATTTTACCCCTTGGATCCGGGTCCGTGAATCCGCATATTTTTGCGGTTCAGGAAGCTAAAATCTTTCGGATTCACTGATCCGGATTCTAAGCATTGCCGATAAAAACTTTTTTTACTTACTCTCCGCAAATATCAGGTTTTATCACCATCCTTGCTTCTTCTTTATGCTGGGGGACTAGGATGAGCTGCGGTGCTTGCTCCGGTTTCCGTTTTCTTTTTAATTTAGGTTTATTCCGGGTACAGAGTAGAGTATACCAGGGTTCAATGGAACCAGATGCATAAGTTTCCAGTAGCGCAAGAAGTATCTGAGAAAAGAGAAATCAGTAAAAAGATAGAGAGATTGATCTGCAAACATAATCCAAGTGGAGTTCACAGACAATGATTCAACAACTTCATCATAAAGTCAGTTAGAATTTCAAACTTTAATTTTAACCACTCGTAACTTTAAATTTAAAAAAAACTTTATAAACGTCGACATTTACAGAACAGAATAAAAAATACTTTTAAAGGGGAAAGGGATGAAGATTGGAATTATCCAATCCGATTCTTTAAACATAAAAAAGAGGATTTTAGAAATATTAATAAAATTCCTCAAAATATTACAGAAATTAAGAACAGACCTCGTCGATTGAACAGTCTGGAAACAGGACGGTTTGTGGTTCCTCCTCTGGTATGAATCCTATTTCATACTGAAAGAAGAATCTGGCAAGGACTGCTGAATGTGCCGGGATACTCCCATCCTGTCAATAATTTAACTTTAGCCAACTTTATTCTCTATTGATAAAAAAGACGATTTTTCAGAAGATAAGCCAACATGTTTTTTTTTAATGTTCCAATACAATAACAAAAGCAGTTAAGCAACTTCAAAGAAGGGAAACATTTGGAACTTGGGAACCAGGGGAACATCAAAACTGTGATATAGCAATATTGGACTAACCTTGCAAATAATGATTAAATCTGTATACATATTCTTCTCTCTAAACTCCCAGAAGGTTTTATTCATATCCTGGAAGTGTCTTTCCTGAGCCACCATGTGCATGGTGACATCAACCACCTCGGTCTCCCCCAACCCGTCCATCTGGATCATTCTTCTGAAACTACGTTTTATTGACAAATATACAGCTTTATATAATCATAATAATTAAATATAAATATTTCATAATCTATAAATTATTTTGAGAACTAATTTGCTCAATGCATCATTTTTTAGAGAAAAATTTCCAATAAATTAAACCAATGAGAATTCCTATTTCTATGAGAATTATACATGTAAGAATAATCTTGTTGGAGATCACGTTCAGATACATCTTTCGGAGAATTTTTTTACTCCGTCCCAGCTCAATATCCGTCTCAACCAGTCTAGTTCGGGTTCTCTCCAAGGATTCTCGTTGTGTTCCCAGATCATCAATTATTCCTTCTCCTATTTGCTCCGTCTCAATAGCTACTTGTTGAGACCTCTTGATACTTTCGCTAGTTCTTTCCAAGGTTCTGACTCCGTTGATCACTTTCTCTCTCAACCCGTCTCCGACAACACGACCCTGTTCTGACGTTTCTCCGGACCCGTAAGTACTCCTGGAGACTGATCTGTATGAGGATTTGAGCAGTGCAAACCTTGACCTAAAGGATCGAACGGAGGCAATCATCTCTGCTCTGAATTGCAGTGGAGCACTGCGCGCCTCCAAATCCATTTCATCCATTAATTTTTCTCCGTCTTCCAAACATTTTTCACATACCTAAAAAATTAAAAAAAGTAGATGGAAAATGTCAAGAAATACAAAATCTTAAAAGAATTGTTTATGATTTCAACATCTCACCTGTATATTTCTTTTCTTTGCTTCTCCCTGACTAGTTCCAAGGCTCCGGATTCCTGAGCTCAGGTTCTCTAGCTGAGTCTCCAACTCATCCTGAGCAAACTCAAACTTTTCGCTCGACATGGTCGGAGAAGCGGATTCCACCACTCATATAATTTAGTGCAATCCCATTCCACACCTTTCCCGCAACAAAAAAAGAAAGTCTCTAGACACCCATATTCTCTGAAAGTATCACAGGGTCATACATATTACAAAAACAAAAACAAGAAAAAATGCACCAAAAGAAAATGATGCTTAACAAATTATCTTTCAGGTTAAATATAAAATCCTAAATATTATATATCACAGTCATTGAGATTTAATTTAGAAATGAATTGCTTGTGAGATAAATAGATGAGAGCTAGGATTCTAGTTCGTGGATTAAATGCTCAGAAAACAGGAAATATTCACATGTTTCTCAAGGAAGAGAGATTTGTTCTCAGAGAAGAGAACACGGAAGAATACAAAGTTCGGATAAGCGTCTCAATGGAGTTCTAGTCTGGCATTGGCTTGGAAAAAATATCATAAGGTTGGTTTATCAGCTTGCTCCACCTCTCTTTTATATACTGAGTAGAGGATAGGATAGGGTTGGTTTATCAGCTTAATCCATCTCTCTTTTATATATGGAGAAGAGGTTAGGATAGGGTTTAATAAGACGATGATATTCGAGGATTTCGAGCTGGAGAGAGATATAAAGAACTTGGACATTGTCAGCAGTAGTCCTGAATATAAAATATCATTAAAATCTGCAGACATGGTCAGCAGTAGTCCTGAATATAAAATATCATTAAAATCTGCAGACGGGGTTAGCAGTAGTCCTGATTATAAATATCATTAAATTCTGCAGACATGGTCAGCAGTAGTCCTGAATATAAAATATCATTAAATTCTGCAGACATAGTCAGCAGTAGTCCTGATTATAAATGTCATTAAATTCTGCAGACATGGTCAGCAGTAGTCCTGATTATAAATATCATTAAATTCTGCGGACATGGCCAGCAGTAGTCCTGATTATAAATATCATTAAATTCTGTAGACATGGTCAGCAGTAGTCCTGATTATAAATATCATTTAATTCTGCAAACATGGTCAGCAGTAGTCCTGATTATAAATATCATTAAATTCTGCAGACATGGTCAGCAGTAGTCCTGATTATGAATATCATTAGTCTGCAGACATGGTCAGCAGTAGTCCTGCTTATAAATGTCATTAAATTCTGCAGACATGGTCAGCATTAGTCCTGATTATAAATGTCATTAAATTCTGCAGACATGGTCAGCAGTAGTCCTGATTATAAATGTCATTAAATTCTGCAGACAGGGTTAGCAGTAGTCCTGAATATAAATATCATTAAATTCTGCAGACATGGTCAGCAGTAGTCCTGATTATAAATATCATTAAATTCTGCGGACATGGTCAGCAGTAGTCCTGAATATAAAATATCATTAAAATCTACAGACATGGGCAGCAGTAGTCCTGAATATAAATATCATTAAATTCTGCAGACATGATCAGCAGTAGTCCTGAATATAAAATATCATTAAATTCTGCAGACAGGGTTAGCAGTAGTCCTGAATATAAAATATCATTAAAATCTACAGACATGGTCAGCAGTAGTCCTGATTATAAATATCATTAAATTCTGCAGACATGGTCAGCAGTAGTCCTGATTATAAATGTCATTAAATTCTGCGGACAAAATCGCGGAACCACACACATCCGTATACGCGATAACACCAGATTGATCATATTTTTTAGCATTTGAGGAAACTAAAAATTATGTAAACTGAACTATGGGAATAAAAAATAATTGTAAAAGGAGAAAGACGATCTTACCTCTAGTTGATGTGAAGACGATAATACCGACGACTATGAAGGATATCTGCTGAGACCAGAGTGTTACATCAACCTCCAGTCCGAACCAGTTTACCAATATATCAAACGTTTTCGTGATCGGGTCAACCTGACAAATCAATTATTGTAGATTTGATTTTATCATTTTTTTTACAATTTTGCTTTAAAAAAGTAATTTCGTTTGAATTATAGAAAATCCTACCTTCCCAACCCTGTCGAAGACTATATTGATGGTTGAGATGAATATTTTCCAGATACAGTAAACGGAGAAGAAGTATCCAAGAATATTAAAATATTTGCCCTGGAAGGTTCGAGACCATTCTATCCGGGTTCTCATGTTCTGTAGATCATGTGCCTAGGGAAAGGTATATAAGGTTGATTTTAAATAAATCCAATTTTCAATACCCCCCCC